GTATGGAGCATATGGGTGTATGTATGTATCTATCAATTGCTCTATACCATATTTTTTGAGAAGGGATTTCCCACTGAGACTGGGAACTTACTAATTAAGTTAGGCTGGCTGATTGTGAGCTCCAGTGACCCTCCTGATTCTGCTTCCCCAGAACAGACATTATGCACACACCTAGCTTTTTATATGGGTGCATGGGAAGCAAACACAGATCCTCATTCTTGTACACTTTAATAAGTCATGTCTCCAGTCCCAGAATTGCTTTTCTTTTCTGACATCTTGCTAAAATTGATCACAGATGGTCTAAAGGTTACTTGAAGAACAGGCTGTCCCCAGTGCCAAATTCATAAATTCACAAATTCATTACAATGCCGGATGTACAAATGACAATAAGAAAGTCTTTCTATTTGATCAAAAGTGAATCTTTTCTTTGTTGCAACTTGTGACTTTAAAATTTATTTTTAAAAAATTTATTTATGCGTGTGCATGCACATGCCACAGCATGTGTGGAACACAGAGGACAACCTGTGGGAGCTGGTGCTAGCCTTCCACCATGTGGAACCTGGGGACGGAACTCAGCTCAGCATTTCCAGTGGCAAATACCTCTACCCACTGTGGAGGTTTGACTAGGAATGGCCCCTACTAGACTCATGGGTTTGAATGCTTGACCAAAGGAAGTAACACTATTAGAAGGTGTGGCCTTGTTGGAGGCAGTGTGTCACCGTGTAGGAGGGCTTTGAGGTCTCATATGCTCAAGCTACACCAGTGTAAGACCCACTTTCCTTCTTGTTGCCTGCAGATCCAGATGTAGAACTCTCGGCTCCTTCTCCAGCACCACATCTGTCTGCATGCTGCCATGAAGGTAATGGACCAAACCTTTGAACTGTAAGCTGCCACCTCAATTAAATGTTTTCCTTTATAAGAGTTGCCGTGCTCATGGAGTCTCTTCACAGCAATAGAAACCTTAAGATATCCATGGGATCATCTTGTCAGCCCTAAGCTCTATTTTACTTTTTATTTACTGTTTTGTTTTGAGATAGGGTCTCAGTATGTAACCCTGGATATTCTAGAACTACCTGTGTAGACCAGGTTGGCCTCCACTCACAGAGAACAGCCTGCCTCTGCCTCCTGAGTACTGGGATTAAAGCTGTGCACTGCCATGCCTGACTAATTGTTTAAATGATCTGGGGAAAACAATTTAATGTAACTAGACAAGACCTATAAATGTTCTTAGAAGAAGAAATACAATTAATTTAAGACAATGTATTTGTGTGTTCTTACTGATCAAAAGAGTTAGTGATTTTATTATTATTTTCGCTTATTGCGCTTGCAAAGATTAAAAGGACAGATGATAAATAGTTCATGAAAGTGAGGATGTGGGCACTGAACATTCTCATGTAGTGCTAGAAGCAGTGTGCCTTGAGGGGGATTTGGGAGTGTGAGCTGGCAGTATCTGCCAGCATTGACATATGTAGTTACACTTCCAAAACTCTAAGGTTTGAGAATATTGGTGTTTGCACAAAGAAGGCTGGCTATCCACAGTAGCTCTGCTTGTAAAAGGAAAATTAGGAATCGTGTCAACATTGACCCATGAGCCAGGCTAACAAATACTGCTCTCTTAGATACAAACTGGGACTGGAGAGTCTGTGAGCTCCCAGGCTGAGCCTGGGAACTATGGGTAGGAAAACCCACTGACTTCTGTCCTAGGATGAACTGGGCCTCTGCTATTGCCCTGAGGTCATTCCCTCAGCTCCCAGCCCTCACCATCCTGTGCTTCCTTCTGATACCTGTAGGGGATTTTGTTTTACTTCTTATTCTTTTGTCTGGAATGCTTTTCTTCCAAGCATCCCCAAGTTTTCTTTCTCTTTCCTTTGTGTGTCTGCGCCATTGTGCTTTGCACTGGGGCCTTCCCTGAGCACATCTACACCCTGGGGAACACAATCCCTCGCTGCTCCTCACCATGCCTGGGGTCTTTCTGTTTCCCTTCCCAAGTGACCTGTTCTCCATATCCTTGCCATTGTTTAACCGTAATCTGTGTCCTTGCTTATGGGGTAGCCCACCTGCTTCTTTCTCCAAAAATTGTAAGCTTCAAGGGCTGAGGATTTTGCTAGTCTGTCTCCCTCAGAGGAATCTCAGCATCCACAGTGGTACCTAGTACACTTAATAGGTAGCTATCAATGAATAAAAGAACGGTTCATTTTTATGAATGCATAAAAACATATAGCCAATTTTAGCAGTGCTGGGAAGCAGGACTGGGGAGATGTGGGAAGAATGCTCCCTGCTAGTCATTGCTGTACCATTTGAGGTACACAAGCATGGTGGCTTCCATTCCCCTATCAGGCCATCTGAGACACCTTGCTGGGTACACAAGCGTGGTGGCTTCCATTCCCCTATCAGGCCATCTGAGACACCTTGCTGGGCCCTGCTATGGTCTGGGTATGATTTAAAGGACACATGTGTTGAAATGTAATATTAATTAAGTATTAAGGTTAAAAAAAAGCTAAGTTAAGATCTTTAGAGGTGGGCTTTAGGGAGCAATGATTAGAATTATATAAATTCATGAGAATGGGGCCCATGTGATTGAGCACTGCTAGCTAAACAAGAATGGGGAGAATAATGTCAGCTACAGGAGGCTGAGGCCGGAGGATCAGTCACATTCATACGTTCAAGGAGCCAGGACTACACAAGACACAAACAAAACAAAACAAAACAAAACAGGAAAAAATAGGGAAAACTCAAGAGCTACATGTGTGCCCAGATCTCCTGCCGTCTGAGGCCTGGGCTCCTGAGATCACAGCCGGAAGAAGCCATCATCAGACGTGGGCTTTCATATCTGATACGCAGAATCATAAGCCAAAATCAACCCTTTTCTTTGTAAAGATAACCAACCTCCAGTGTTTCGTTATAGTAACAAGAACAATGATAACCAGAAGCTGAAAATACTTTCTAAAAAGAACCAAGGACGTTCCTAGACTTGTCTCCACCGCATGTGCCAACAAGAGCTCAGACACAGCCATAAGCCTGGCAGATTTAAGGGGTCTCTCCTCTACCACGTGGATCCCAGAGATCAGACACAGGCCTTCGCTACAAGTGCCTTCACCTGCTGAGCTGTCTCAGTCTCCCAAATCCTTTCTAATTCGTATACCTGACCCTTCTCTGTACCCGGATCCTCCCTTTCAGACCACTTCTGTGCTGTGTTTCTACCACAGGAAAGTCTTCAACATTGTTGCCTGTCTTGGTCCCATGTTGGGTACAGGATTCATTTTCAGTGTTAGAGGAAGCTTTTGAGGAAACACACTTCCTCTTTAAGAAACAAACCCATGCTAGGTGGTATTGGTTCATACCTTTAATCCCAGCACTCAGGAGATAGAGGCAGATAGATCTCTGAGTTCAAGGCAAGCCTGGTCTACAGAGCGAGTTCCAAGACAATCAGGGCTACACAGAGAAGCTCTGTCTCAAAAAAACGAAGAAAGAAAGAAAGAAAGAAAGAAAGAAAGAAAGAAAGAAAGAAAGCCAAATTTAGCTGATAGGCATGCCAGAGACACATTTGTATACCATAACAACTTAACTCTATTTGGTGCCTCCCCCCCCCGCCCCCCCTCCCCGTAGGCTTGTGGCCCAGAGGCCTGAGTCAGTAAGGTAAGGCCTGATCCTCTTCTTGGGTCTTTGCTCCCCTAAAGCACACCCAGTTGTACTGCAAACAAGATCCCTGAGGGGCCACAGGCCTTGACTCTAGTCTTCCTGAATTCTCAACTGTCCATAGTCTTCCTGACAAAGCCACAGTCCTTACTTACCCCAACAGGCCTGGAAAGTGGGGGGGGGGGGGGGCTGCTACTTAGCTTCCAGAGACCAGAAAGAGGACCTGCCTGGCTGCTTGCCCAAGAGTTCATTCCTCTCACCCTGGAAAGCAAAGCAGGGCCACAGCAGCCAGCTCTTGTCACCAATTTGGTATGGAGACTGGAACTCTGAAGAGTCCAAGTGAGAACCAGCCAGCTGGGTTTATTACCCTCTTTTCTTTTTAAGAAAATCAGCTGGAATAAGAGTCAAGACGATCTGGGAACTGGCCCCTTGGGGGCAGTTACATTTGGTGTTCTCTAAGCTTTGGCAAAGCAGCAGATTGGAACTGTGCTCTGGCTGAGAGCTCTCCAGAATGAAGCTATTCAGCCATAGGCATGCAGAAACACCAGCGTCCTACCCTTTACCTATGCGCCATTCCTCGGGCCCAAGCGCCTCCTGATCCTTCTGGGGGGATCTCCTTACTGAACTTCACCTCACACAGGGAGTGAAAACGAGCTTTGGAACTAGACTACAAATTCAATCTTTAAAAAGAAAAGCTATTTTCATTTGGGGGCATGCACAGGGTATGTGTGGGGTGTATATGTGCAAGTGTGCGTGCACATGCGTGTGCATACATGTTGGCAGTCAGAAGACAACCTAGAGTGTTGTTCCTCAGATAATACCCAGACTTTCCTTTCGAGACAGGGTCTCTCAGTAGGACCTGGGGCTCCCCGGTTAGGCCAGGCTGCCCAGCCTTTAAGCTCCAGTGATTGTCTGCTCTGCCTCTCCAGCACTGAGAATACAAGAAAGAACCATCAAGCCTGGCTTTTTACCTGAGTTCCGGGGATCAAATCCAGGTCCTGTGCTTGCATGGCAATTGTTTACTGGCCCGAGGTATTTCCCACCAATGAGACTTTCAGCAAGAGAACATAGAGCTCAGCGTTCATTCTGTTGCCTGTAGGAGATGCTGGTCCCTGCCCAGTAAGACTATCACTCCATCAACGGAGCAGGGGCAAGGTTATGTTCCTAGCAGATCAGAACCAAGTCAATCATACTTATAAAGGGAGCCCCCAACTTCCCTCCGCAAGGCTTCTCTGGCAGTCTCTCTAGTAACTGCACAGAACAAATCTCACATCTGACCACCCTGGAGTCTCTTGCTGGATCTAGAAACTGGTATTTGTTCTGAAACACGCAAACACACACCAACAACACACCATGCATGGAACTGAGACTGCTTTGAGCCCCAGCCCGAAGCCCGGGTGTCTGCAAGGCACTTGCGTGACATCTGGCTTTGCCTTTGCACACAACTGTGGACAGAAATGAGTTCACTCCTTATCACCAGGGGCCAATCCAAAAAGCAGTAACTACAGAGACCGCGACAAGAGAGTGGTCTAGAGGCGCACACTAGCCAGGCAGTGTTGACAAGCCTGCATTTGCTTTTCCATCCTTTAGTTCCATAAGTGCCGCCTACCACGAGCCAGCAAACATGCCAAGTAGGAGGGAAAGACAGTTAAGTCCCACCTCAGCTCCTGGGGAGCTCCAGGGCTGGTGAAAACACAGCAGCTTAGCAGATGAGAAAAAGCATCCCTGGTGTCTCAGGAGTGAGCCGAGAGAAGGAAGGTGGCCCAGATCTCTCACTGGCTCCCTTGCTCACTCACAGGCCTAGCACTCCCGACAGGCTTGTCAGTCATCACCTTGGGCTACTCACCACACTGGTTTTCCTCTTGACTCTGCCCCACTCCACAGGTCTCCTCCCGCTGTTCAGACGCTCGGAGGGACGTTTTAGCCACGTTGAGGTCCATGCCCGAGAGCTGCAGGTGAAACTGCTCCCTGTGGGCAGCCTTCTTGAGCGTGCGGATGGCTTTCCGTAGTCGCTTCTCCGTCTGCTTTACCAGGCAGCTCAGATTGCAGGAGACTGTGGAAACGGGGACAGATCCTCAGGTGCAGTGAGGATGTCCAGGCTAGACCCCACCGACATCCCAAGTCCCCTGGAGCTGCGAACCTAGCAAGCTGGGCAGCATTCAATTCAAACACGAAATTCTGAGAGCCAAATGGTAGCTTTGGGTTTTATGAAGTGGAGGGGAAAACCTCTCCATCAGGTTCTAGACCAAGTTAGTGTAATTTGTGAGGGTGGAATCAAACAGGAGATACTTGAGGGTTTAGTTTCTGCCCCCCAGGAACGATGGAATGGAAGACAAAGAGAGAAGAAACGAGTCCCGAGAAGCCTGGCACCGCAGATGGCTTTCAGACCAACCTGTCACCTCCTTTTTGTAAGTTTCCCGTTCAAGCTCAACCGTGATAAACATTTCCTTAGGGGCACTCGGTCGGCCAAGGGCTCCTGGGACTTGCTTGCCAGAGCTGCATGTAAGGTTTGCGTACTGGAAGCTCTCTCTTACTGAGCTGTGCCTCTCTGTATGAAGAAACAAAACGATTGGAAGCCAAGTCCTGGCAGACCACTGAGCTGAGCATTCGCTGGGGCTCAGTAAACATTTCATCACAACCCTCTGGGGACCGCGTGATTCACTCCACATGCGGAGCCATTGCCAGCCCCTAGCCTGGAGCCCAGAGACATTTTCATTACTCTGTAACATTACAGTCTAGTTCTGGAACAGTCTTTCCACGGGTACAGGCTGGGTGTCTCCCACTGGCCAGCCACATATGCGGAGAACAAGAACCAGGGGGCAGCAATTGTTCTGTATTTTTGATGATGGTTGGCGAAGGTACTGGATGTTCTCAAAGCTGGACTGGGATGGCCTGATGCTGAAGCTTCAGACAGGAAATGAAACGAAACCAACCCCTCCTTCCTGTCCGAATAACCTTGGTGCAACTCCATTCCAAAGGGAGAGACAGAACAGACATCAACAGTGATGTCTCATTTTAAACAACGACAAAGCAAATGGCACCAAGATTCAGCAGAACCAAACAGTCTCCACGCAGGGTGAGGTGGAAGGCTGGCTCTAAGACAGGCTTTGCAGCCGGGGGGTGGTGGACCATGCCATTAATATCAGCACTTGAGAGGCAGAGGCAGACGGGTCTCTAGAATTTGAGGCCAGCCTTGTCTACAGAGTGAGTTCTAGGACATTCAGGGCTACACAGAAAAACCCCACCTACAGAAAAAGGAGGTGGACTTTGCACGTCCCTATTCTTGATTTTTCGATTTTCATGGTGTCCCCTCTCCCCAGTGCTTCTGATGAATCTGTTGATTCAAAAGACAAAACTGAACCAAACCAAACTACAAAGCAGGACCACATATACACAAAACCTTCTTGCATCTCTTCTAAAACTGATTTCATTGAACTAAAGGTTATCTGTGCTATAGTCTTTTTTTTATATTTATTTATTTATTTGTTATGTATACAATAGTCTGTATGTATGCCTGCAGGCCAGAAGAGAGCACCAGACCCCATTACAGATGGTTGTGAGCCACCATGTGGTTGCTGGGAATTGAACTCAGGACCTTTGGAAGAGCAGGCAATGCTCTTAACCACTGAGCCATCTCTCCAGCCTCTGTGCTATAGTCTTTAATGACAAAGCAATAGACCATTGTGGCCAGGGGAAGACACAAATTCATTTTCTACCTATATTTTTCCCCAAACCTATATTTTATAGTTTTAAAAAGTATTTTTATTTTTATGTGTGTGTGTGTTTGTGTGTGTGTGCCACATGTGTGCAGGTGCCTAAGGAGGCCAGAAGAGGGCATCAGATGTCTTGAGCTCAAGTTACAGGCAGTTGTGAGTTGCCCAACATGGGTGCTGGAAACTGAACCTGGGCCCTCTAGAAGAGCAGCCAGAGTGCTCTGAGTCTGAGCCATCTCTTCAGTCCTGTTCTACATGTTTAAAGAGCTAACCTCAAAGCTTAATGGATGTTAAATCTGAACTTGTTTTCCTTTCAGTTTTCATGTGTGCATGCGAGAGTGTGCGTGCACGCACGTGTGTGTGTGTGTGTGTGTGTGTGTGTGTGTGTTTCCAACAGTTTCTCTCTGTAGCCTTGGCTGTCCTGGAACTCGCTTTGTAGACCAGGCTGGCCTCCAGCTCTGAGAATATCCTGCCTCTATCTCCTAAATGCTGGGATTAAAGGTGTGTACCATCCCTGCCCGACTTCCCATATCTATATGAAAACTACTTTTACTTTACTTTTTTATGCTGTGGTTACATTTTTGTGTGACTGCACACATGTCATGGCTCACATGTGCCATGGGGGTGCGTATGGAAGTCAGGGGACAGTTCTCACTACCGTGTGTGTGGGTCCTGGGGATCAAGCCAGGCTATTGGCTTGGCAGCAGGCTTCTTACCTGCTGGGCATCTCACTGGCCCTAACACTATTTTATCTATTTATTTTGTTTTTACACAAATGTTGCTCTGTGTTCCAGGCTGACCTGGAATTCACTGTGTACTCAGAGTCAACCTTGAACTCACAACAGTCTCCTTGCCCAGCCTCCCAAGTGCTGGGATTGCAGGTGGAAGTCACTATGTTTAGTTCTTTAATTCGATACTTTGTGTCTTGAAGTAAGTTTAGATTTACAGAAAAGCTGACGAAAAGTACAGTCTCCTTGCCCACCCTCCTCTGAGTTCCTCCTGCTAGTTAACATCTTCAGCACTGGTCCAATCTATGAAGTAAGCTCCAGACCGAATCTATGTTTTAAATAGTACGTTCCTGGGTGGGAGAGATTGCTCAGTGGTTCCTGCAGAGGCCCAGAGTTTGATTCTCAGCACCCACACTGGGCGGCTCACAGCTCCAGAGAGAGCTGACTGGGCTCTGCCGGCTCCACACTCGCATGCACACACTCCCCACACACTTGTATGCACAAATAAAAATCACTTTCTAAAAATAGGTCATACAGCCTGGCTGTGGTGGCGCATACCTTTAATCCATAGCATTTGGGAGGCAGAGGCAGGCGGATTTCTGTGATTTGAGGCCAGCCCTGGTCTACAAGAGCTAGTTGCAGGACAGGCTCCAAAGCTACAGCGAAACCCTGTCTCGAAAAAAGAAAGAAAGAGAGAGAGAGAGAGAGAGAGAGAGAGAGAGAGAGAGAGAGAGAAAGAAAGAAAGAAAAGTCATACTGTGGCTGGAGAGATGGCACAGCGGTTAAGAGCACTGGCTGTTTTTTTTAGAGGACCTAGATTTGATTCCCAACATCTACAGAGTGGCTCAGAAGTGCTGTAATTCCAGTTCCAAGAGGTCAGACACCCTCTTCTGGCCTCCTTGGGCACCAGGCACATAGTTGGCACAAAGATACACATGAAGTCAAAACACCCATACACATAAAATAAAATTTAAAAAATAAAAATATTTTCCTAATTTAAAAGTAAAAAAAAAGAAAGTTGACTCAGCCCTAAACAGGACATTCCTATCAGCCATTAAGACCAGGTAGCATCTCGGGAGAGGGGACAGAATGAAAGTAAGAGCCGGAAGATGGGGAGGAGGCTCTGACATATGGAAGACGGGGAGGAGGCTGTGACATACTTTCTTTTGTCCACGACACAGCCAATGCGACCATGATCTCACTGTAGCTGCGGCGACCTGCAATGGGCCGGCCAACAGTCAATTATGGAGCTCCGAGGGGCTCATGGGGCCCCATCCCTCCCTACGGAACTATGTAGATTCTGAGGGAGGACAGCGAATCTCCTCAGCTGAGTACCTACCAATGTGCCCTCAGCTTCCAGTGGTTACTCCAAGACTATGCGCATACGGACGGCCCTGGTTGAACTCGGTCACAAAGCAAAGCAAAAAGGCTTGAATGTGGGAAATTGGCTCATAAGGAAGGGGACAGGGGTAGGGACGGGAGGGAGAGAAGAGAGGGTGGAGGGCGTCAGTCATCAGGATGCAATAAATGCATGTATGACATTTTAGAAGACCAAATTTAATAAAAGTTAGAAAAGTGTAAGTATGAAAAGAGAACATGAAAAATACAGAAGAAAATCAGAATCTCCCACCATATGTCTTACCGAGACATCATCACTACTAATAATACAGTCAGCTTTCTGGGGCTTTTTCCTTCAGCTCCATTTAGGTACAAGTTTGATTAGTTAGACATATAGAATTCTACTAACTCCCTTTCTATCTCTTTTTTGTTTGTTTTTGTTTGGGGAGACAGGTTCTCTCTGTGTAGCCTTGGCTGTCCCAAAACTTACTCTGTAGATCAGGCTAGCCTCAAACTCAGAGATCCGCCTGCCTCTGCCTCCTGCCCCTGCGTGCTGGAACTGAAGGTGTGCGCCACCACACCTGACTACTATCTCGGCCACATAACAAGACACCTTCCCACACCATTAACATTCTTTGAATACATATAATTAATAGGTGCACATGTTCCATCAATGGGGGCACCAAAATGCATCTTGATTGTATACCAGTAGGCAGTCAAAATAGCTAGCATGAGCTTTAGGTTCATTTGTTTCAGGGTAGACTTCCTAATCTATGTCTTGATTTATCTTAAACTCCACAAGTATTCTCTGAGGTTCTGATGGAAAGCAAAGTTAGGGAAGAAAGCAGCACGGTTCGCCTGTTCCAGTAAGCGTAGCTATCCTTGGAAGACATTTGTTTTCCTCCTGGCCCTGGGGCCACAGTTTCCAAACAGCAGCGCAGCCAGAACCCTGGACAATCTGTCTGTTCACAGGTGTTGTTCCCAAGTCAGCCCCCTTTTTATCATAGCTTGCACTTCAGAAACATTCACCCAAAACAGTCCCAAGTGGCTGATTCATCTCAAGCCCCATTGACTGGGATGAGCTTCAGTGTTTCCCCAGAGCCTCAACAATGGCCTCACAAAAGACTTTCTGGGGATAAGCCCAGAACTGCACAGGGGTTAGTGCAGGCTCCACTCCTCCTGGAGAGGAGTGTCCCCGCAGATTCTGAATGGCTGTGACATCTGACATGTCCTTGCATCAGCTGGACAGCCATCTCCAGCTCAGCTGGTCGCAGGTCCCTTACCCAATATGCAGGCAAGCTTCCTGCCCCAGCCATCCAGTTCCATACCTGGTAGCGCTGGTCGCGGGCCCTCGGGAGACAGCTTGACCTTTTGCAGACTACATTTGCCTTCATTTAGCTTAAAGGTTACACTTGTCCTGACGGTGATGACATCTTCAGAAAGAAATAAGTAAAAGAAATTACCTTCACAGGCAAAGGAGGGAACACCCAGAGAGTGGTGGCAAGCTCCTGCTGGCTGGGCCTCACTACATGTTGTAGCTGATGAACCCCTCTTAATATGATCCCATTGGCACGCACAGGTTCACCTGGAACCTCCTCAGAATCAAACTTATCTCAAGAGAGAGATGGCTCCAATGTTTAAATGTAACAGAGAAAAGGCCCCAAACAGTCTCCACAGCCAGGCGAAAGATGAGGTCATTTTTGTGTCTTCCAGAGAAGGAGGGTGAGAATCCTCTGCTTGAATCTGAACAAGACTGCTGGGGGAGTCTCTTCCGTGTGTGGCTTCCCAGGGAGGACAGGGCTGGCAGGGCTGCCAGTCCAGATGTGGCTACCACTTCTGGGTCTGGGACGGAATAGTACAGAATTCTGTTCTCCCAAAATAGATCTTAACTATATGTTTTGCTGGAGCCCATGCCTCTAATCGAAAGCCCTCTGATCTGTGAAAACTTCAGCACATCCCTTAATCTTCCCCATCTCAGGTTGCTCGGGTGTTAAGTGCACACAGTTAAGCAAGCACCTGTTTTACCAGGATATTGTTAAGGATTAAATGAGGTAATGGCAAAAATAAATGTTTAGCTGGTTTCCTGGTACATAGTAAGGACTGCTAGCTATTTCCTTACCATCCCAGACGAACCAGACCGTGTTTCCTCCTCTGCCTTGATCCTAACATCCATCAGAATGGGCAGCAAAGAACAGCACTTAAGACTCTGAACACAAACTGCTTGAGTTCAAATCCTGGCTCCTCTGTTTCTTTTCTGAGTCACTTTGAGTAAGTTCTTCCATCCCTCTGGGCCTTGGTTTCTTTGGTTAATGAGGATAATAATAAAAATGCTGCAGCCAAGTGTGGCAAACTCGCGCTACAACCCAGCACTTAGGCAGCTGAGGCAGGACTGTTATGATTCAAGGTCATCCTGAACTACAATATGTTCCAGGTTAGGCTGGGTTACAAAGTGAGACCTGCCTCCAATATTTAATACATAAAGTTTCAAGTGGATTAAATAGCCTATTCTATGGAATATAGTGTATAGGATCTGGAGTATTTTAACTTCTAAACTACCATCTTGCATGGTATTTTAAACTTTCAACATCTTTATAATATAGACATCAAGATATAATGTAATTCTCTATTTGGACAGTTTTGTAACAAAATGGCAAATGGGTCCTTCTCTGGGAAGATGAGGCCTCCAGAAAACTCTGGACTTTTATTCTTAGTATTGTGACAAAGTAGAATAGGTCTGGGTCTTTCTTGAGACAGAACCCCACTTCTGCTAGCCTACCAATGTCACATGTCTAGGCATGGTCCCTGCTCGGAATAGAGCAAATTTGGGATCCTCGGACTGTTCTCTCTGTGGCCCTCTTTCAGTACGGTGACACACCCAGGTTCACAGGGGACACTCAGTAAGTCTGGTTTCCACAGGTGGGCAAGAGATCAGACACCATAGCTGTGGACAAGAACACCCTGTGATGTGCTCAGAGCATCCAGATAAGAAAAGAGCCAATAAAGTCACCCCCGTGAGCAGCACCCCAGGGAAGAAGCATTGAATGCAATGAGCCCCTGCAAGAGCACAATTTGGTAATTACCCCCAAAATCAGAGTCGTTTGACTTTTGCTGTCTGCTTCTGAGAGAAGAGGAAGAGCCGCAGGTGACAGAGTAGGCCTCTTGCAGTCCTGACAGATAGAATGTGGAATTGTCAAAACGCATAAGCAAGATGACAGACTATCCTGGTGACAATTAAAGTCACCCCCACCCCACTCCACATAGGCCGCTAGAAAAATACCCAGGATATGAGCTCTCAAAGCGTGGGCCTCTGGTGGTTCAAGAAGTATCTGGTCCAGACCCAGATGCCCTTTGAGTATGTCCAACACCTACAGGCCGTGCCATGAGGACTGTGCCGGGATTCACTCACCTGAAGAGAGGTAGATGCCAGAGTGACATCTTAGGATGCACCTGTCTTCTCCACCACTCTTACCACAGTGCAGGGACACACTGGGCGTCGTGCTGGTGGGCAGGAAGCCCTTCACTTCTAGACAGGACAAAGAAGCACGGACACAGATGCAAGGAGAGCCGAGGACACCAAAGGCCCCACGGAAAGACGGCAGAGCTGACCTCCCTCCCCAGCCTCGCCTCCCACAGAGGTCAAGGGGACACTTGTCTGCTGTTCATGCAGAGAAGCAACCACGAAACAGAAGCAAGCTCCGATCTAGGCAGAAGCACAGAGCTGAATGTCAAGGAACCTGCAAGGTTTTTGAACTTGTTAAAGACCAGCTGCTGCGGTTCCAGGGAGGGGGACTCCATGGGAAAGGCGCACTTTGGGCCCGGTGGAGTGTGGAGCATACAGAGTCTCAAACCCTGGACTCAGGTTGAGCCTGTAGCCACGTGGGAACTAGGAAAGGACAGCACCTCTTACCCACGCAGTCTTTTTTATTCCAGTGGAGCTTGTACCCTGGATGACACTGGCACTCATAGCCACCCACTGTGTTGACGCAAACTTGCTGGCAGCCCCCATTGCTGACACTGCACTCGTTGGTGTCTGTGGAACCAAAAGGGTCCCCTGTCACAACAGTCACGTCAAGGGCTGACTGCCTATCCCTTAGACAAGTCTCGTGGCTGACAGGCGTTTTCAGGGACATGCATCTGCTGACTGCACTCCCCACTGGCATGAGCCTGGGTTGGGAGGTTTGAGCCACTGACAGGAACACCCAAAAGGAAACACCACTTTCAGATGTCTAGACTCAGACCCTGCATGGGCTTTGAACTTAAAACGCCATCATCCTCTGGGCTACATAGCAAGAGAGACACAGAATTAAAGCTCCCTATTTGACTCTTTCCATAGCTGAGAGAGAAGAGAAGTTGTGTGCATCTATCCGTCCCCGATAACTTGGGACTGAACTCAAGCTGGAAGGCTGACATCTGTGTTCAAGGGGTGTCTCACTGGGGTCTCATGATAGACGGGGTAAGGTCAGAGATGCTTTTAGATGTGCCAAGAATGTGTGGAAAGAGGGAAGGGAGACACTATCATCTACAGCAAAGTACCATTATCTGTTCTTCTCAAACACAGGGTGTGAGAACTGGCAGGAAGTGTTCCAGCCTGTGGTCCTCAATCCCACAGATACCTAGAATCACCATGGTGACCTTAGACTAGTAGGTCTGGAGTCTAGATCTATTCTCAGTGGCTGCTGATTGCCGGGGAAGTAGAGTGAGAGTCAGTTAGTACAAAATCTGACTTATCTATACCACAGTCTACTTGATCGTAAGGGTGTGAGCCATGAGCATAGGCTGTGAAACGGGCACAGAATGAAGAGAGAGAGTCAGTGCCACCTTCCAGATCCAAACCTAAGACTAGGGCTTGAACCAAGGCTTTGCAGCCTGTGCTCGGGCAGAACAGAACTACAAGTCTGCTTGGTGCCCGGCCAAGCCTCTCTGAAGACAGCAACATTATCTTCTGCTGGAAAGAATGAGTTATTGTCTCAGCTCCTGCAAGAACCCCGTTCTCCAAATATGAGCACAAGTCAATTCACTGATGAATCCACAGCTGACAGAGCTCAGGTCCTCTGCGCCCCATTCCATACCCAATGTGCTAATGGGATAAATACTAACATGTTCCCACGAATGCACTCTTTGTCCCATACAGGAAGATAAACCTCAATGGTGGCCCTGCTCCCGGGCTCGGGCTCCCATAGAGGGCCGGTCCACTCACCTCCACAGTGGGTGAAGCCGTAGAGTGTGAACCCGCTGTTGCAGGCACAAACAAATGTACCTGGGTGGTTGATGCAGCTGTGGTCACAGGTTCTTTCCAAAGAGCATTCATCCACATCTGTAATTATCAAAGAGAGAGGGGAGCTGATGCCAACTCAGCTGTGTGGGTAGAGGCGTTCGTAGCAATCACAAGTTGCTGACTAACTTCAAAACAACACAGGTCAGGAAGACTGATGAACCCATTGCTTTGCTCATTTGTATCAAAGACTGTGTCGAGGAGCTGTCATAATTACAGTCGTTCCCATGTTCCTTGACTGTGAATCTTTTCTTTTTAAAGATTTGTTTTTATGTGCATTTGTGTCTCACCTCCATGTATATGTCTGTGTGAGGGTGTCGGGTCCTCTGGAACCTTGTGGGTGCTGGGAACCAAACCGGGTCCTCTAGAAGGGCAGCCAGTACTCTTAACCCCAGTCATCTCTCCAGCCACTTGGTTGTAAATTCTACCGCAAACTATACTTGCTTCGATGTTCATGTGATCTCTCTCACTCACTCATGTGCAGGGCTGAGAAATTTAAGTTATATAAATTGTGGTTGTTTTAGTTTTTATCAACTTGACATAATCTGGGGTGACCTGAGAAGAGGAACTCACAACTGAGAAAGGGTCTCTATCTGACTGGCTGGCAGACAAGTCTGTGGCGCATTTAACAACTGATGCAGGAGGGTCCAGCCCACTGTGGGTAGTGTCATCCCTAGGCAGATGGTCCTGAGTGGTATAAGAAAGCTAGCTGAAGGGCTGGAGAGATGGCTCAGTGGTTAAGAGCACTGGCTGGTCTTCCAGAGGTTCTGGGTTCAATTCGTAGCACCCACATGGCAGTTCACGACTGTCTGTAACTGCAATTCCAGGGGATCTGGCACCCTCATACATACACGTAGGCAAAACACCAAAGCACATAAAATAAAAATAGCATTTAAAAAGAAAAAGAAAAAAAGCTAGCTGAGCAAGCCATGGAGAGCAATCCAATATGGAGGGTCTCTCCATGGCCTCTGCTTCAGTTCCTGATCCCAGGTTCCTGTCCTGACTTCCCTCCATGATGGGTTGTGATATGACATGTAGGCCAAATAAAGCCTTTTCTTCCCAAGTTACTTTGATCACAGTGTTTAATCACAGCAATAGAAAACAAACTAACATACATGAAGGCAAATGAGATACCTAAACATAGCTTCACAGTTGGGCGGTGGTGGCGCACGCCTTTAATCCCAGCACTCAGGAGGCAGAGGCAGGCGGATCTCTGTGAATTCAAAGCCAGCCTGGTCTACAAGAGCTAGTTCCAGGACAGGTTCCAAAGCTACAGAGAAACCCTGTCTGGGAAAAAAAATAGGTTTATAGCTTAGTTTGTAAATAATAATTTATAAACTAGCCATTCATTATCATTTTATCTATTTATGTCTAAATGGTGAAACAAAAAGAGAAAACGCTTTGGTTGGAGACAATTCTGGTTACTACCTATCTCTCATCTTACAGAATTACTCTTCTGGCCCCCAAAAGCCTGTTGATCCTGTGTCTTAATGCCCTCTGTGTGATTTTCTATGAAAGATGCTGAAATGGGGTCGGTTAAGGCAGAGTGGATCTACTTGGAAAATCTCTTGTTCTGTTACTCCTCTATGGGGGAGGATTACCATGTCCTCTATGTCCCTGGCTCAGTGGGGACATGTCCCTAACAGCAAGCAGAGCCATGCACACCGACTCTGGAAGCTGCATCTGTGGACCTGATCGTGGGTTTTTCTGTCTCTCTCCTGGAACTCTTGGGACTGTCTTAATTGGTGCCTCCAAATGGATAAACCCGGGTCACACTTAGTGGCCGACAGCCACAGCATTGGACTAGACCACTTTGTCTACACCAAACATGCCTTGAAAAGCTATAGTAATAAAAGGCAAACATGTTAGCCAGATGTGGTAGTGTGTGTCCAGACTTGGGAGGCACTTGGGAGGTCAAGGCGGTAGGATCACTGTGAGTTCAAGGTCATTAGCTTAGGCAGTTTCCAGGCCAATCAGGATTCAGTTCAACTCAAAATAACAACAGTGAGCAGGGATGGGGGTTCGTGGATCAAGAAAAATGAAAATGCAAAATACAGAAGGGAAATTCTTACGAAGCCCTTCTTCCCTGGATTTTCCCAGCAATCCTGACAGTTTCTTCAGCAAATTCACTCTGCGCAAATATTTGTTCTACCAAGAGGAACGGTGGAAAATGAGAAAAAGTCAATTCCTTCCTGGCACTCGATGCCATTCCGTGAGATCTGTTAACTCCAGCCAGTTGCTGACGAAGGGCCCTCGTTCAGTAGCTGACTTTGGCTGCTCACTGTGGACCTCTCTGCTTTGCCAAAAATAATGAGATCACTTTCCTAATTCCTTTTTAATGTGTTTACACAGCTTAAACATATTTCTTGCCCTATACATTATGAAACATTGTATGGAACAGCAAATTTGCTTTCCAAGTCAAACCAAAGAAAACCACAAAATAATTATCTAGAATTAACTCACTGAATTTAAAGGAGAATGTATTTGAACTGCCTGACAAATTATGTATTAAAAACAAAGGGAAGGCACTCTGCAAAGTGTCCTTCTTAAAAATTGTTCCATCATTTGTCTTGTGTGTGTGTTCATGTGTGTGTGTGTGTGTGTGTGTACACATGTGTATGAAGGCCCATTGTTCTGATTGCTTTGTATGTGTGTATGTGTTCATGTGTGTGTGCACATGTGTATGAAGGCTCACTGTTCTATCGTTTGTCGTGTGTGTGTGTGTTCATGTGTGTGCACAGTGTATAAAGGCTCACTGTCCCATTTGTTGTGTGTGTATGTGCTCATGTGTGCACATGTGTATGAAGGCTCATTGTTCCATCGTTTGTCTTGCGTGTGTGTGTGTGTTTATGTGTGTGCACGTGTGTATGAAAGCTCAGAATCAGAGGCTTCCTTGACTGCTTCCCACCTCATTTTTTGAGACAGGGTTTCTCACTGAACCTGAAACTTGCTGATTCCACCAAACTGACTGGTCATTCAGCTCTACGGATTTTCTTGTCTCTGCCTCCCACGACTAGAATTACAGGTACACACTGCCGCATCCAGCTTTGTAGGTGGGTGTAGATGGGTCTCCCCAGCTCCCAATATTACATTTTATATCCTGATTTTTATACAGTGTTGGGCTTCCGTTTGAGGTTTTTGTGGTTTTGTTTGTCTGTTTTGTCTGGGTCTCTAGCTAAGCTGGGTTCACCTTAATATGTAGCCAAGGATAGCCTTGACTCTGGGCCTCCTGCTCCTACTGCCCTAGTACAACAGGTGATCACAGGTGTGTGCCACCATGTACGGTTTATGCAGTGCTGGAGGTCCAACCCAGGCCTTTGTGCATGCTAGGCAAGCATCTGCCACCTGAGTTAGAGTTACATTTCCAGCCATCAGTGAGTCCCCGATGCTCAGATGTCTAATGAAATAAGTAAGGCAGCCCTTACTGCCAGAAATGGAACAAGGTGGATGACGGTGATCTATCCCGAGACTTCCTTCTTATGTATGATAAGGCATGAAAGTTGTTTATCTAGAAATAGAGATGAAGCTTGTCCTAAATCAGCTGTTGACATTGACAGCTGCTGCTCACCTTGTCCTAAATCAGCTGTTAACATTGACAGCTGCTGCTCACCTTGTCCTAAATCAGCTGTTGACATTGACAGCTGCTGTTCACCTTATGTGGGATGGATACAGTTGAAAGGGAGTCGATCGGGGCCAAAGAAATGGGTCAGTGTTAAGAGCATATACCAACCACTCTTCCGGAAGACTGAATGGGGTTTAGCTCCCAGCACCCACACCAGGTGGCTCAGAACTACCTGTTAACTCCAGCTCCAGGGGATCTGATGCCTCTGGCTTCTGTGGGCACCTTACATGTACCTGCCCACACACAGATACACACATACACGTATTTAAAAATAACTTTAAAAACATAAGTCTTCAAGTAAAAGAAAGAAAAGAAAAGGGGTCGGGTCTGTAATCTTCCTTCGAGCCAAGCAGTATTTCTCCTATCACCCCCTTCCACCCACCTCAAAGTGCACTGAGCAGTCATCCACTGTAAGGGTTGGAAGAAGGGACCAGCTGGTTTGGATGAACCAACCTCGGCTTTTTGCTAGGAAGAAGTATTATCCAAATGCACAGATTTTTGCCAACTTTTCTCAAATATCCAATTGCAGTAAAATAAATTTTAGAAGAGGAAAATGATCTCTAATCTCAAGATCCAGCCATAACTCTGATTGATCATGCATTGTTTCCTTTCTAGCAGGGCTTTCTGCTGTAGTCACACCGGATGGGCTTTCTGTGGCAGTCTCTGATGTCAACAGCTTAGTTCCAAACATATGTGAGCGACACCATGTTTTCACTCAGCCTGAGATGAAGCAAGTGACATCCGAATTGGAGACTAGAGTCCACGATGCCATCAGGAGCAGGGCTCACCCACACCGTCTCTGTCCCACCCAGGGTTCCCTACACACCCCAGCTACTGACCGATTCAGCACGCACCTTGGCAAGACTTCTCATCTGTTAATAATTTAAATCCTTTTCTGCAGCTGCAGTCAAAACTGCCCACGGTGTTTTTGCAGAAATGGTTACAACCTCCATTCCGGGTCTGGCACTCATCGATATCTGTAACAGGCAAGCACTGTAACAATCAGAGAGTGATAGCTGCCTGGCTTCCCCGGTCCCCAAACTGCTGTCGTGTGTTTCCCTCATCCTCAGAAAGAAAAGCAGACCCACACGAGCACTTCAGAATGTTCACTGAGAATTTCAGTCCTACAAGCATCTTCCTGTCTGGCTGAAAGACAAGTCCCTCGTCCAGCTGACCATTCTGACTGTCCGTGACATTGGAAGCACTGAGCAAAGACACCTTGGAAAGGAGTGGCGATGTCATGGTCAATTTATCCTCATCTTCTACTGCCCTCCAAAGATGAGACAACCACCATTAGTACACTTTCTATTCCTGCTTAATGACTAAAGCCATAAGGGACACGAGCTTTTGTTTTTGGCAAATTGCACAATGACCAAATAGTCTCAACGTTTCTTAACGATTCCTGATACTTAATCTTATCTTTCCCCAGTTTCATCTCATAACCAGTTCATCTGTCTTTTTATCATGCTAAAGGACTAAGAACCCTTTGTACTCTTGCCCATGAAAGACCAGCAAGTCCTTAGGGTCTGTCTTCATTACTAAAAGTTAATGGTACAGTTATTCGTTAAGTGCTCGGGATAATAATCTCAGCCGTTATTTACACAGTAATCTCAAGGCTATTATTTATGATAGGTTGATGTTATCTGCTGCCAATGAATGTTCTATGAACCGCCTTTTGCTAAGAAGGACACTTGTCTGAAATGGATTATCTGGTGCTTGCAGAGGCTGACCTTCTCAACAGTTAGTATAATTAAGTTACTTCTAATTAAGCTTACTCAATTACAACCGTCCACTAGCCCAAGGAGGAAAAGCTCCCATCAATATGAATCATAAGCAAAGCTGGGAACACAGAAATGGCGTGGAGGCCTCTATTCCACACTTCAGCAGTGCAGACTCCCTCCGCCCAGGCCTCGGGCCCACAACCCCAGCTCCAGGACAAGTGAAGGTTACCTTTACAAGTCTTCCCGTCCAACTGGAGGGTGAACCCAATGGGACAACTGCAGTGAACCCCTGTGGATGTGTCCCTGCAGGTGCGATCACAGCCTCCGTTATTGACGGCACACGTTTCTGACGAGAGGGGGAAGGGCGGTTAGCTTCCTAAAGGAGTGACACCCCAGAAAGCACAGAGGGGTGCTCACAGTCACACCCCAAGCCCCTGCCATCTGCAGGTGTCACGGAAAGAGAGTTGCTACTGCATCTCCTGCCCCTCAAGAAGGGCTGCTCCGAAAGCTGGTTACCAGAGAGATAAAGCTACCTCCCTACCTGGAGAAAGATTCTCCATCCACGACAGGTCCCTGGTTACCCACGGCCAACAGCTGCTAAGTGTGACCACTCAATCTGGCAGGCTAAACCGAGTGCAGAACAGGGCAAAAGAGGATGCCTTTCTTATTCCAGGGGTTTCTCTTTCATCTGCGATCCCAAGAATTCCCTTGCTACACACTAATGGCTTTGCCCTTGCGAATGCCAACTTACTCGACGTCTCTGTGATAGGCCTGTGATAACTACTGAAAATGAGCTGTAGAAGGTCTTCATTTCACACGGTCATTCTCTAAGCACTAACCAACATTCACTCAGCGCTAGCACCCAAAAATCCAGGAACTTATATAGCTACCTCATTTGAAAGCCTGAGGAGACAAGCTTAGCACTAATTAAATGCAATATGTATATATATATATCTTTGCTTCCTCTCAAAATTTCGTTACACTATGCCGGGCAGTGGTGGCGTACGCCTTTAATCCCAGCACTCAGGAGGCAGAGGCAGTCGGATCTCTGTGAGTTCGAGGCCAGCCTGGTCTACAAGAGCTAGTTCCAGGACAGGTTCCAAAGCTACAGAGAAACCCTGTCTCAAAAAAATAAAAAAATAAATAAAATAAAAAAATAAAATAAAATAAATTTCACTACACTGGGACTAAATAAGTGCTTAAATGTGTAGTATCTCAGGGACAAAGAAAATGGAAGAGAAGACAAAAAGATGTCAACTATTAGGAAGTGAATGTCAATGGAGCAGAAAGTTAATCCCTCGCCTCTGCAGAGGGGCTGCTGAAGGGGCTAAGTCATAGGAACCCCAGAATCCAGGAAGGCCAGGAGATGGGAAACTCTTTTGGAAGCAGAAGTGAGGATGGAGTTTTAAAAAATAGAATGCGTTGCCGGGGAAACAGGACCCCTCGGGCCATTCCCATCCTCCACACCCCCACACAACAATGCCTCACCACCACCACCAAGTTTTTATTTCCAGATAGCCAGGTGACACCAGGTCCCAGCTCTGGTGCAGTTTCCACTCTGGGGAAGTCAGGGAGTATAGAGGAGGGAAGGAGAAACACAGTTGATGAGATGAAAGTCTGTGCCTAGACACATTGTTAAACCTACACAGCCAGGGATACTGGGAGCTAAGTTTCTATCCCCAAGCAAGAGGCTGAATGATTCCTCAGAAACTTAACCAACTCGACCAGATGAAAAGACTTCAGATGTGAAGTCACACAGATACAAAGCCTATCAATCAATCAATATGAGATCCAACTGGCTTTTTAGTTTTTCACTGGTGAATATGAAATCAGTCAAGAATTACCAAATATTTAGGATATTTAGTATTTTAGATACACACCAAAAGGAACGACAAAAGAAAGAGAAAGAAAAAGAAAGAAAGAAAGAAAGAAAGAAAGAAAGAAACTTAGAGAAGACAAAGATGACAGAGGAAGGAACTGGAGAGATGACTTCTTAGTGGACAAAAGTGCATCAAACTCCTGCAGAGGACCTGAGTTCAAGTCCCAGTACCCATGCTGAGTGACTCACAACTGCCCATAACTCCAACCCCAGGGCAATCTGAAGCCTCTGGCTTTCAGCCTCTGAGGCATCTGCACTGGCATGCATACACACAATAACAACATCCATTTTTTAAAAAAAGATAATATGAGAAAAGGAAAGAGTAAAACATAATTTCTTCAGGGGGCAAGCGAAGCATCCATGAAATGTGAGCAGGTCCCTATAACAAAGACCCACGTAAATGCTGGGGAAAACAGGAACGTGGAAATTTTTAAAAAGAGTCATGCAGGAAGATTAGAAGGTAGAAAAAGTGAGCAAGCTAGAAAGTGAAACAAAAGACACAAAGAAGAAAATGAGAGGATCTCTGGAGTTGCTACTGTCAGCAGGGAAAGGACATATAAGACCTGTGAAGCAGGTCAGAACACACCAAAGGGGACATTGCCTGAGATCTCAGATCACCAAGGACAATGACAGGACCCTGAAAACTCCCAGAGTGAAGCTTTTCGATCAAGAGGGCTGGGAATGTAGTTCAGCTGGGTGAGTGTTCCCTTAGCATGCATGGAGCCCTGGGCTCCATCCCCAGCACTGCATAAACTGAACCGTGTGTCCCCTGAAATCCCAGCACCTGGGTCAAGGTCATCCTTAGCGCTAGTGAGTTTGAGGCTAGCCTGGGCTACATGAAATGAGAGAGGGAAGGAGGGAGGGATGAAGGGAGGATGGAGGGGCAACATGAAAACAATGAGCACTGGTGTCAAAATTCTGATGACAGAAAATTCATCCAACTCTGAATTCTATAATGAGCCAAGTTCTCGATGAAAGCCAGAGGGAGAATGCATGCAAAGGCATTTTGAGGGACATGAGGTTTTTAGAAACCTTTATCTCATCCACACTATAAAGTGCCAAAACAGGAGATCAGCAAAGGGGGTTCCTAGGCCCCTGGGAAAGGCGCAGCTGACGGAGCTGCAGGCCAGGAGTCAGTCAGACCCTCCCACAGCAGCGGGAAGCCTCAGAAGAGACTGACGGTCAGAGAAGAGAACAGAGCTGAGAAGTGGGACTGCCTCTGTGCACGCTGAGAAGCGCTTCAGAAACCCCTGCCAAAGACTCCCAAAGGAAAAGGAACCGGTGGGTGGTTTTTAGAAAACAGCTCTCCTATTTGCAATCAAAGGAAGAATAAAAAGGCAGTTGTCACAGGACTTGGGCGCATTGTGTGTAGATGCTCACAGTAATGTAAACACTTAATATTGACTTAAATTTTGATTAGCTATATTAAGGGCATGGGAGAAGTGTGTGTGTGTGTGTGTGTGTGTGTGTGTGTGTGTGTGTGTGCGCGCGCGCACCTGAGTTTGAATCCCTAGCAGCCTTATTTTGGAGACAAGAGGAAACGGGGCTCTGAGGAATCCGTGGTCAGCCAGTCTAGTCAAATGTTGGCCAGCTCCTGGTTCAGTGAGAGAACCCTGTCTTAAAATATAAAGTGGACAGTGCCAGAGGCTAACACACAAAATAGACCTCTGTCCTCCACACTTGTGTGCCTGGGTGAGCAGTGAGCACACACACACACACACACACACACACGCGCGCGCGCGCACACACACACACATGTGCAAAGGAAGAAAGAAAAGAAAATCAAGCAGCAGGAGATCAGAAAGGGCCCCTGCTTGGTAACCAATGGTTGGTCAATATCTTACCTGACTAGCAAACTCGGGAGCTATTAGATGAACAGCTTTATTTAAATGAAACCAAATCTCCACAATAACATGCTGAGAGATCTGTCTGGCCCCGTCCCCACGGCCACTGCCTCTTCTCTCTCATCTCTTCTCTCTTGACTGCTGGGGCTGTGGGCCAGCGGTCCCAGGCCCCCCAGCCAAGTGCCACTCTTCCCCATTCAGCTCCTCCAGCACTAACATTGGCTGGGTCAGAGATGGAAGGCTGGTGGGCACAAAGACAGACAAACTGCCATGCGAAACTGGAGGCTGCCCAGGACACTGCCACCACGGCTAATCAGAGAGAAGAGAGCTGGCGTCCCATGGCCACCCACCGCATCCCACAGCCTGGATGGACTCTGGGCGCTTCTGCATATTATTATCTTTGTAAACATCTATTATTCCTATGTATGTATGTTGGTAGGTAGGAGCACATGTGTAGAGGTCAGCGGACAATCTGTGGGAATCTATCCTCTCTTCCCACCATGTTGGTCCCAGGATCTACTCGGGTCCCCACACTTGACAACAGGCAGCCATACATACCTACTGAGCCATCTTGAAGACCTCATGTTACTATCTTAATTGAATTTCCTGATAACCCTAAAGGATTTTACTACGTTCTATTTATTTTTATTTATTTATTGTTCAGCTGGGGTCTCACTAGTGTTCCTGACCAGCCTGGAACTCACTCTAGACCAGGATGACCTCCACCTCACAAACATTGGCCTGCCTCTGCCTCCCAAGCACCAGGCCGCGTGCTGATGATGTGGGGTGTCCTTCTGTATATGTGTTGCTCCTATTGGTTAATAGATAAAGCTGCTTTGGCCTATGGCAGGGCAGAATATAGCCAGGCTGGAAGAGATATATAAAGAGAATAGGCGGAGTCAAAGAGACGCCAGGTAGACTCCAGTGGAGACAGACACTGGCTGGAACATTACTGGTAAACCATGAGCCTCGTGGTAAAATATAAAATAAGAGAAATGGGTTAAGTTAAGATGTAGGAGTTAGTTAATAAGAAGCCTAAGCTAATAGGCCAGGCAGTGTGGTAATTAATACAGTTTCCGTGTGATTATTTCGGGTCTGGGCAGCCGGGAAATGAATGGGCCGCCTCGGCCTGCATGCCACTCTTCCTGCCTTATATTTATTTATTTTCAGACAAGCTTTCCTGTATCTCAGGCTGGCCCCTAATTTATTACATAAACAAGGTGACTTTGAACTTCTCCACCTCCTGAGGATTATGGTTTTAGTCCTGTGACATCAAGTTCAGTTTATGTCGTGGTGGGGTCAAGCCCAGGGGCTTTGTACAGGCTAGGTAAAGACTCTGACTAGCTTCACCCCTAGTGCTTACATCTGTTTAAAGAGAGACCTACAGACGGGGAGAGTCTCATTGAGGTTTGCCACGTCTCACAGCTGGTTGGGCAGTGCTAGGGCACTAACCTGATTATTTAATGGCACAGGGCCAGGGGGTTTGGCCTATGATTAAAGGACTGTTTGGGGAAAGAGAACAAAGCGTAGCCTGGATTCAGAGAAGCTGCTCATCTCAATCCAGCTGGCCTTGGGACACGCGGGCTCTAAGCTCAGGAGAGGGACGGGGACAGTGACGGCCAAGGAGGAGAGGTTCCATACCCATGAGCAGCCGTCTCTTCACCCGTTTATCTCCGTCGGCCACTGATGTGGCGTTGCTCTCTGTCCCCTCCAGGATGGTGCCCTCTTTCTCTACAAGAGAAACAAAACCACACTTGTCAGGCTGAACGATCAGATTACTCATTCTCCGAGCAACCATTTCTGCTGCAATCTCAGGCATGAAACGTGAGCAATGGTACGTGTGTGAGTGTCCACGCCATAAGAACAGGCCATTATATGGCTCTGTGGGAAACAGCATATTAAATGACTGAAGACCCTTACAAATACTAAGTATAGGAAGGGGTTGGGAATATAATGCACCGGCCAAAGAGACTCCAGGAAATACAAGCTTCAGAGTAACTGCAGAATTCTCGGTTCAAGATAAGAACTCCAAGAGAGCTGGGCTGTGGTAGCAGGCGCCTTTAATCCCAGCAATTGGGAGGCAGAGACAGACTTGTCTCTGTGAGTTCAAGGCCAGCCTGGTCTACAGAGTGAGTTGCAGGACAGGCTCCAAAGCTACAGAGAAACGTGTCTCAAAAAAAAGAACTCCAAGAAAGCCAGCAAGGTCATGTCTGAAACGCAGGGCAGATTTTGACTGTAAAGGTCACTGGGCCATCACACACAGACAGCTTTATCCTCTGTCACCCTCTTCCTTTGTAATACATTGTCCAGGTCTCTAGAATACCAGCTTTCAGAACAGCCCAGTCCATGAGAGGAGGAAGAGCTTTACAAAGAGAGAGGGACTCCCACCCAAAAGTAGGCCCCTCCTACTGTAGCACGTGAAGGGGCCTTGGGTATTAGCCATAACGTGCATCTGTTTAGTGCGGCTAAACACTATTGAGGGTTAAGGTTAAGAAGAGGGCTTGGGTAGGGGTGGGCAGGCTGAGGCAAACCTTCCACTGGAGGGAGGGGAAATCACTTACCCAGACAGCTCCTCCCATCAGCATGCAATCTGTACCGTGGATGGCAGCTACACATGGGACCTTCAGCTGTATCTTCACACAAGTGCTGACACCCACCGTTTCCATGGTTACAAGTCACTGAGATGGAAATGAGTCAATACATAAAGCACTGAGGTTTCCACCACCGGAGCTAGGTTTGTTTCCAAAGAACTTTTCACTTTTAAAAACAGGGTCTCACTATGTAGCCGACCTGTATAGCTCACTGTGTAGCCCAAGCTGCCCTTGAACTTACAAAGATCCACCTGCTTCTACTTCCCAAGTGCTGAGATTAAAGGTGTGTACCACCATGCTTCCCCCCAAAATTGATTTCTGCTCTGCAAGGATCTTAGCACCTAATGCACATCTTACCTTGACATTAGAAAGACCTTCCACTCAGACACTGTCCGTGCCTGTGTATGCAATGTCACCATGTCACAGAATAAACCACAGGAGTACAAAGACAAGTCTTGAGCAAAGTATACGGAGTCGGATATGGGAAGGCTGGGTGGGGAAGAACTCACTATGTGGGGAGAGTTAAACCAAGGACTCTGGCCTCTGCTTCCCTCTCGGCTGAGGTGTGCCTGCTATCCCTGATGTACCCAGGGCTTCTGGAAATTCTCAAGCACTTTGTGTCTGGAACAAACTTTTAATTTAATTTGCATGTCTCGGTCAGGGAAGCTCTCATCAAAGTTCACCTGGTTTGGTTACAATAGAAGGTAGCCAGGGGAAACGGCAACTCTCTGCACACAGTGATTGCAACATCAACCAAGAATTATGAAGACTGTGTACGAAAGCACTGATGGCGGGCCAAAAAGAAAATTTAAAAAGTCAACTCTGAGACTATGGGATTGCAACAGGGGAGGCAGCGCACCTTTAATCCCATCACTCAGCAAGCAGAGGCAGGTGGGTCTCTCTGAGCTCCAGGCCAGCCACACAGGGAAAACCTCTGGCAAAGGAAACAGGAGGGAAGGGCAGGTTTTCATTACATGCCTCTCAGTGTTTCAATTTTTACATATGTAATATTTCTAATTTAAAAGAACTAATTATTTATTTGTGCTACAATCACACCTATGTGAAATTTGGGCATGCATATGAATGATGACTAAATAGGAATATGGAAAAAAAGAACCAGCTATGCTATGTGATTCTTTGTTTGGCATTTTGAGATAGGGTCTCATGTGGCCTAGGTTGCCATCTAACTCATTCTAAAGCAAGTATCCAAGGATGACCTTAAACTCCTGATCCTCCTGCCTCTACCTCCTAAGTGTTGGGATCACAGGAATGTGACTTTTTAAAAAGTTCTTCAAATGTCATAAAAAACGATACTTTTAAGCATTGAAATCTTAAAAACATTTAATTTTAAAAAAGAAAAAAAAAAGAGTTGAGTGGTAATGGCACACATCTTTGACCCCAGCACTTGAGAGGTAGAAGCTGGAGGATCTCTGTGAGTTTGAGGCCAGCCTGGTCTATATAGCTAGTTTCAGAACAACCGTGTCTCAAAAAGGAAAAAAAAAAAAAACAAAGTAAAAACAAACAAACAAACAAACAAAAAAACCTTACTGGTCTGGTGAGAGCACAAAAGGCACGGGCACCTGTTACTGAGTCTGATGGCCTGAGCTCAATCCCCAGGCCTCCCACAGCTTGCTCTTGTGTCCCTGACTTGTGGTTCTTTCTCTGACCCCACCTCAGCCGAGTGACAGTTCGTACTTACAGATGCAGTCTCTCTGGTTCTTAGCCAGCTCAAAACCAGGCCTGCATCCACAGGCAATGCTGCCCCTGGGGGCCTCCCTGCAGATGTGACTACAGCCATGGTCCTTGTTCATACAGCTCAGGCCCTCTGCAAGACAACAGCAGGGAGCAGGTGACACAGCAGAGAGCTGCAAGGATGGATGCGGGACGGCCACAGGCGTGCCCTCCGGGATCCCTACTGGCCCCGTAGCTCATCCGTCTTTATTTTTGAGACAGAATCTTCCTTTGTAGCCCAGGCCAACCTTGAACTTATGTTCAGACGTAGCTACAACTCATCATGCTCCTGTCTCTACCTCCCGGGTTCTGGGTTAATAGGCTTGTACCACCCAGATGACCCCAGGCACACTTTTCAAAGACTGGCTGGCTGGTGAGATGGCTCAGTGGGTAAAGGACGCTTACCAACAAGCCTGACCAATGGAGTTTATCCCTGAAACCCACACAGTAGGAGAGAACCAATCCCCACAAGCTGTCCCCTGACCTTCAGACAAGCGCAATGGCCTGTGGGTATACACAGGAGTGCACACACACAAAAACACACACGCACAATAAATACATAAAAAGAATATGTATTAAAATCAGGCTGGGACAATTAACAGAGACATGAAAGATTTCTTTTGTCACCTAAGAGATACAATGCCTCAAATTTTCCTAAGGAAGAGGAGCTGAGGCTAGAGAGACGGCTCAGTAGTTAAATTAGCAGTTCTCAACCTTCCGAACACTGAGACCCTTTAACAGTTCCTCGTGTTGTGGTGACCCCCAACTATAAAATTATTTTCATTGCTGCTTCATAACTGTAATTTTACTATTGCTAAGAATCATAATGTAAATATTTTCAGAGACAGAGGTTTGCCAAGGGGGTCGCGGACCACTGCTCGGAATGAGGGTGCAACAGCAGCAGAAGTGTCTGCGAGGGGTTATCGGCAGCCTGCTTCATGAGGAGACCAGCTCACGGAGACTGTGCTGTCTAGGTCCCAGACCCAAGCATAAGCCTATGCTGTCCTCCCAGTCGGGACTGCATCAGTAAGGATGTGTGCACACACTTTCTTGGCATTTGTGTAATACAACTCTGAAACAGCCCTGGAAGAGGTAGGGGCTTGGTTCTCAATGGTTAGGAAGCCCACGAGACTTTCTAACTAGAAGTAGGACTGTCTTAAACTTGAGTTCTGGAAGGTCTTCTTCGGCTTCACTAGGACTGAACACTATTTTGTATTCTACCCCTAAAACCACAGACTCTAATAAAGTGAGTGAGTGTCCTCTCTACCTGCGTGTCTGGGGGACAGTTACTTCCAATGACATTTCTGTCTCAAAAGACAAGGCCGCAGTGAAGGCGTCCTCTACTCTCTTGGGTCTGCCCAAAGACCACCTTGTTTCCATTTGACAGCTCTGAGCTGTATGTCCCACACACAGTCTGCTTCACACTGCTGGGATTCAAAGGCCGCTGCCAAGGGCTGCTGTCAAGTAGCAGAGAAAGAGGTTTGCACTCAGTTTCTGCATTGGTCTCTCCGCTCTGGTTGGCCCTTTATGAAGATGTCATTCATGCCCCAGTACTGAAATGGCACAGGAGGTGAGAGCTGCCCACAGAGGGAGTGTCCTTCCCTCCCCCAAAAGACCCAGCAAGCCTTGTATTTGTCTTTGGGTCAGTGGAGCCTTTGAAGTAACTGAGGCAGAGGGATACTTGAAGGTAACAGTGCTCGAAATCCAGGGATAGGAGCCCACAGAAAGTCCATCCCCAGACAACTTCCCTTCACCTTCTAGATCTCTCACTCAGTTTGTGTGCCTAAGGCATTTGCAGAGTGACCTTTGCTGTCCCAGAGTTCATTATACAAGAAATATTTCATACCAAAGACAAGAAGTCATCAGGATACACAAAGAGACTGCCCCTGGTGTCCCCTCATAGCAAACTGGACCTGAAGTCACCAGGAGGTGATGAGGATTGAGACAACTCTAAAAGTGTGGGTGGCTTTTCAAGAGGTGACCCCCAAAGCTTTTCCCAGCACCCCAACTCAAAATATGGCCACGGCTAGAGGAGGTAGATAGATCTGGTTCAAACCAGGAAGGCCAGCCAGGGCCCTAACTCCCCAAGGACCTGGTCTGGTAGTCATGTCTAAAGCTAAGGCTTTACCAAAGGGAAGATGCTCAGAAATCGTGGAGATTCCCCAAACCTTTGCTCCCTCGCCAGCCTTCCTCTGTAGGATATTTCTGGGAACTTAAAACAGAATAAGGAGCCAGTCTGGTCTACAGAGTAAGCTCCAGGACAGCCAGGGCTATACAGAGAAACCATGTCTTCAAAAGCCAAATAATAATATTATAATATTATTATAAAAATAAGACTATTCCTTGAGAATGTGACAGAAAATACATAAAGTGAGAACTATGCACTACTGAATGCAGTCTTCCCCATGGCCCCGATGTCTCCCAGCAGCTCGGCCAGGGCATCAGTCCACTGTCCAAATACCCTCAGCACAGCCAAGACAAAGGAGAAATGCTCATTTTGAGAGCCTGAGCACCCCTGAATAGGAACAAAGGCGGGTTGACGGCGATGCTTCTCCCCAGCCTACCCTCCATTACATGGGTGAAAACACACATTCTCTTGATTCAGCTCTGGGCTTTCTAAAGATTTGTAACAAAAATTCTGTAGCTTGAGTTTCCATCAAAATCAGCTAGCAGTTCCCCTTATTGAAAAATACTTAGTAAATAATTTTTTAAAAAGCAGTAGCAGTAGAAAATACTAGCCTGTGACATTACCTCCCTTTTACCCGCTTTCCATTGTGGATTTTAAGGTCTATCTGAACACAGTCTCCAGAAGGATACTGTACACATGAAGGAGGGGGTCCTAAGGAACGATTGTTTAGAAGTCGTTTGGTTGAAAAAACGAATTCCTAGGGTGAAAGGGGGTCCCCACTGCACACTGCTGTAACCTGCTGGCTCGCACTGGCAGGAATCTGCTCAGCAGTCAGGTTGAAACACAACAATCAGAGCACTTCCAGACCGCAAAGGCAATTCTCGGATTTGGGTTTCAGTTCCAGACATCTATGCTCATGTTAAGTACTCATCAGGGGATCCAAGAATGTCTGAACTGTGGAAGAGCTAGAATTCTAATACAGCTCGCAGAAAGAACCGCACTGGTGTTTACCTCTGCTCTGAGAAGCCTGGATCTCAAGTCAGTCTAGGGGCTTGTAGGAGGAGAGGAGACTGTGCCAGGGGTCTGGAACATAATGTAAGTAGGAGACCGGAAGCCCTCCTGGGTGGGTGGAGTCTATCCTGGGGGTGCTGAGGCAATGGCTTTACCAGCAGGTCATTGCCTCCCTCCTCAGCCACCAGAAGAGAAAGTCAGAGCAAAGGAGAGGTGCTCTGAGATTGTCATTCTCTGCCTGCCTCCTTAAACGATTCCCATCTCCAGTTCTGACTTCCTGTGAAACTTCATTCAATGCCACCAGGATCCAGAGACCCCAGCAGGAAGAAAAAAGCCATCACTACCCTTCAAGGGCCACAGTTGACATGAGGAGAAATCAGAACCAGTGTGTCTGACTCCTCCCGCGTGAGCACTGAGACTGGGTGACAACGCTGTCAAACCCGCTGCCCCACCCAGGCTTCTCTGACAAGCGCTCTCCATGAGGAAACCTTGAAAAATCCACTAAAGCCATGATAAACAATAAGTTTATAAGTTTGTAATTAAAGAATGGAAGAACTTTTAAAGAGACTTCACTCTTAAGATGTGGGAATCCAGCCTGGCGATGGTGGCGCACACCTTTAATCCCAGCACTCGGGAGGCAGAGGCAGGCGGATCTCTGTGAGTTTGAGGCGAGCCTGGTCTACAGAGCAAGTCCCAGGACAGACTCCAAAGCTACAGAGGAACCCTGTCTCAAAACACTCAAAGGAGAAGGAGGAGGAAGAAGAGGAGGAGGAGGAGGAGGAGGAGGAGGAGGAGGAGGAGGAGGAGGAGGAAGAAGAAGAAGAAGAAGAAGAAGAAGAAGAAGAAGAAGAAGAAGAAGAGAATTGACTGATTAGTTACTTGTTCTTGCCTCTCCCTCTCAAGACTCTGTCAAAGTCATGGGAATTTTAAAATAATAATAATAAAAGACATAAACTCAAAGCAAAGAGTATGACAGGGAGACCATCAGAGAAGGGTAATGGCTGAATGGGTGAGGAGAAAGGAAACACACAGAACCTCTAGTCCAGAGAGGGGAGTCTTACACCCACACACACACACACACACACACACACACAAACACAGAGCCCTAGAAGCATAGAAGGCAAGAAATGCAAAACTCAGAGCAGGGCCTGCTGTGGCTTGGGGCTGCAAGAGGCTAGACCCAGGGGGAGGGTCCAGCTCCCACTCCCGCCCCCACCCCCAGCGCAGAGCAAGGGGCAGGCTTGCACTGGTGCTGTGACTCCCAAAGTCCTTTTGAAAAACTTGGCAAATAATACACCTAATTTCTCCAGAGCCATGTTCTGATGTCTGAAAAGTACTCTATTTAGAGATTAGGATCAGAGGGTGTGAAAGTTTGCGAAGACCTGAGATCCCACAGACTGTCACGTTGCTAGGTGACGAAGATGAAGGTAACAGAGCTATGTCCTTCTACCAGCACATCCTGGACTTGTCCCCAACCTCCAAAACTAGCACTCTGCTTCCCTGATAAAGTCATTGTGCGTGGGGGGGGGGGGGGGGCTCTGATAACTCTGCCTCCCACCCTCAGCCAGGCCGAGGTACCTTCTGAGCGGTGAATGCAAGTGTGCTGATTGTCACTCAGAAAGAAACCTTCTTGGCAGCCACACTCATAGCTCCCCATGACGTTGAGGCAGGTGTGTTGACAGCCACCATTGTTCTCCATGCACTCGTCCACATCTGGAAGGAAAGAGGGATCAAGAGTCACCGCTGTGGCTGTTTCAAAGCCCCACCCAGCTAGGGCGCTCAGGGATTCCTGCTAAGAGATGCCCTCCTGAGCCAAAAGAGCTGGTGGTTGGTTCGCCCAGCCCCCATGGGTCTGGGGCTCAGCTAGACAAGCCCCTGGGACAACACAAAATAATTGGTTCACAAAAGCCACGGAACACCTTCACTTTCTAAAGCACAGGGCCAGATGGGCAAGATAGGGCTTGGCTTCCTGAGAATGCCTTCAGGACAGAAAAAAAAAATGCTATACAATAGGTCCTAAGATAAAATGAAGGGTGGGACAGGAGGAAGAAGGGAGGGGGCAGGCGATTGTGTGCTATCAGCAAGGACTTTGTGGGGACAGCCAACAAGGGCTGGGCCCTTAGGAGTCCTTCAGTTACAAACCTGGAGAAGAGAAATTCCAGGCTGGAGGGCCAGAGCCCTCCCCTTGGTTGGAGGCTGGGAAGCTTTGTGCTTTGAGTGTATTGGATAGCAGTGAGTCATGCCATTTGGCTGGAGCCTGGGAGACGTGGAGAGAAGTCACAGGAGGTACATTCAGGAAGATAGATTAAGGTCACACAGCCAAGCCCCCTCTCTGGGAAATCTCAGGCAGCAGTAGAGATGGGGGAAAGCCTAGGGTCTGGCACCCTGTGCACCAGAGACAGTCCAAACCAGTGCTGTGGGAAGAAACGGAACAGAGCAGCTGCTCTTGGGGCAAGCTGGAGAGGCCAGCGAGAAAACTGCTGGGTTGACAAGATGCCCCAGGGGTAATGTCACTGTTTCAGTGCTCCTTGGAGGACAGGATGGAGGCTTTCTAGAAAGACTAACACCAGTCTCAGAAACAGAAACGGAGACATGGTTGTTCCCTCCCCACAAGGCAGAGAGAGTTCTCCTAACGTGCTAAAGGGCCCAGCAGACATGAGGGAGCAGATGGATAGTATGGGCAGACAACACTGTGGGGTGGTGTGAGCACTATGGGGTGGTGTGAACACTGTGGGGTGGTGTGAGCACTGTGGGGCAGTGTGAGCACTGAGGGGTGGTGTGAACACTGTGAGGCAGTGTGAGCACTGTGGGGTGGTGTGAGCACTGTGGGGTGGTGTGAGCACTGTAGGGTGGTGTGAGCACTGTGGGGTGGTGTGAGCACTGAGGGGTGGTGTGAGCACTGTGGGGTGGTGTGAGCACTGTGGGGTGGTGTAAACAGTGTGGGGGTGGTGTGAGCACTGTGGGTGGTGTGAACACTGTGGGGCGGTATGAACACCATGGGGTGGTGTGAGCACAGCTTTGAACATCATTCACTTGTGGATGATGAGAGGGCCAAAGCCAGAACTGTGGAAAAGCAGAATGGCACAAGCCAGGTAGAGAATTCCGGACAGTGCCAGGGGCAGGGAAGATTCAGCAGAGGAGTGAGCAGGAGTCCCCAGAACCTGGAAAGACACTGGCAGAAAGGAAGTACCGCTCCCTTCCTTTCACTGTGGCCTGAGACCCTGCCCCAGCTGTGCTGAGCCTTCTCGCTACCCTTTGTGGGTCCTCGCTAAGTGTGCACGCCTGGCAGATACATACAGGTTTTTGTTATATAATACAATATAAAATCGTATAACTTAGTAGAGCACAGGTTAGTGTTCATAACATCAGTGCATGAGCAACAAACAACACAGAGCAGATGACCAGAGTCAAGAAGGAAACTTTCAGAACCTCAGATAGCACAAAGGCTCAAGGAAAAAGCTGATTTAAAAAACAAAACAAAGCCGGGCGGTGGTGGCGCACGCCTTTAATCCCAGCACTCGGGACCCAGAGGCAGGCAGATCTCTGGGAGTTCGAGGCCAGCCTGGTCTACAAGAGCTAGTTCCGGGACCAAAGCTACAGAGAAACCGTGTCTTGAAAAACCAAAAAAAAAAAAAAAAAAAAAAACCAAACAAACAAAAAAAAACAAATAACAACCACTGTTCCAGCTTAATAGTCCTGTGCCTGTCACCGAATCCTGGGTGTATCTGTAGTCAGAAAACTCACATTTAAATGTCTGTTATCTGGTTTCAAGACGGGTCCTCCTACACTGGCGAGCAATGTTCTCCTAAACTGATGGGACTGTAGCCATCCCCTGAAGCCTAACAAACTTGCCCCGTCTACGCCAAAGGAAGCCCATGCTGGGACACCTGGCCTAGGCATTCTGCAGCGAGGGCGTGGTGAGCAGGAGCTTCATCTCCCTGACATGCCTGAGGGCAAGCTCTCCTGGGTCACGACGGCCCCATTCCCTGTGCCGCTTACTAAATCTCCTCTCCAAACAATCGGCAATGTGTTATCACGTTGGTGACACACTGAGATGGAATAAATACAGTGTATGCCCACATGACAAGCATGGGTCAGTAGCTAGTGGGTGTCTTCAGACTCCACCTTGTAGCAGTCCCCAGAGACCTGGCTACATCTTCCAGAGACATCAGTGTAGCTGGACTCCGGTAAGGCCAGGCAGTGGTGCTCTTAAACCTCTCAGAACTGAGGTCAGGTGGGCGGGCTGCAGGGAAGAGTATTGTTGTGTTCCATGTATTTGCTTCCCAGACTACAGCACTGAGGGCCTCGGAGCTGAAAGGTGTCTGTACTCTGCATGCTACCGGGTATATTTGTAGCTAATGTGTTTAGGGGGCTGGCCACAGGGAAGAAATGACCCCAGAAAACACAGGAACCTGCCACTCCAGAGGAATCTGGGCTTTGAGTTCTTTCTTGCCACAAGCATTTTGTCACAAAGTATGTAGGCCCAAAGAAGTCCCTGTGTGTGCTCCTCCTCCTCCTCTTCCAAATGGACAGCTTTCCCTCATGTCTTTCTTCCTCCTCCTCCCTCTCTTCTTGCTTCTCCTCTTCTTCTTTAAGACAGGGTCTCATGTAGTCCAGGCTGGTCTCAAACTTGCTATGTAGCTAAGGATAACCTTGAACTACTGATCCTTCTGCCTCTGCCTCCAGAATACTGAATTTACACATGTTCCCTATATCTGTTTTATGGGGTGCTGGAAATTGAGCCCAGGGATTTGTGCAGGCTAATATAATTTTCTACCAATGGGCTGGAGAGATGGCTCAGAGGTTAAGAGCACTGGCTACTCTTCCAGAAGATCATGGTTCAATTCCAGCACCCACATGGCAGCTCACAACTGTCTATAACTCCAGTTTTGACACCTTCACATAGACATGCATGCAGACAAAACACCGATGCACATAAAATTTTATAAATTAAAAAAAATATTCTCCCAACTGAGTTATATTCCCAGTCCTCTACTACCTTCCCCTAGGGTTCTTTAGCCCTTACACACATGCTCAGTGGACACCTAGGGTCTCCACAGAATTCACGTCCCTTGTGGGTGACAAGGACATTCAGCTGAGTCATCTGTTATTGCCTAAGGCAAGACTCTAGGCCTGGAAATCAGTTCGGAAAGCCCCACTCGACCTTGGTTGGTGTTGTTAGACCTTGGATTGTCCAGCCTGTTGCTCTCTCGGGGAGCTCACTCCCCACAGAGATGTCCAGGTCAGCCATCAGATATCACCCCTCAAAATGACACTTTAAGCAAACCACAGGGAAATCTTCCTCCAAAGATGGAAAACAAACCAACAATAACAACAAAACCCTAGTGTGTATGCTGTCCCACAAACTGAAGCCTTGTCTGAATTTTCAACTCATTGTGGTTTATTTCTGCTCACAGGGTTCTTTCTCAATGTATTCTTTTGAGGAGCTGCCTGCTTAGGAGTTTTTACTCCCCTAGCCACCCATGATATGACTGACAGCTGCAGGCTTGGAAGCCCACAGGCCTGTACACTCAAACCTGAACTCTCTCATGGACACAGACAAGAAAGGTTCAAGCCAGGTAATACTGAAATGTCATATCAGGGCTGAATTCCAAATGGAATGTTCTCCTCCTCTGCCCCACTCCAGAGTCCAACCTTTCAAACATAAGTTCAGCCTGGACTTAGAGAGAGAGGAAGGGGTGTTCACGTGGGTGTCTGCACGTGTGTACGTGTGTACGTGTGTGAGGTCAGAGCTCCGTGTGTACGTGTGTGAGGTCAGAGCTCCGTGTGTACGTGTGTGAGGTCAGAGCTCACGGTCAAGTGCCTTCCTCGGGTGCTCTCCAACTTATATTTTTGAGTCAAGGTCCCTCCCTGGACACGGAGCTCATTAACTGGGCTAGGTCATCTGGTCAGTGAACTCCAGGGATCTGACTGCCTCTGCCTCCCCAATGCTGGGACTGCAAGTGCATACGCCATGCCCAACTTTTACATGGGTGCTGGGGATCTGAACTCAGGTCCTCAAACTCGCACTGCAGGCACTTTACCAAGTGTGCCACCTCTCTGGCACTTCTAGGGCTCTTCAAGCCGATCACATGACCATTCCTACCACACCATAAAGGAAGATCTGTCTATCTGTCTCCCAGATACAGAGCCTGGCTCAAGTTGCCCCTTAGTTGGCCTGTAGGTCAGCCCCAGAAAGGGTCATCAGCATACCGCCCTCCTGCAGGGCTGATAGAGTGAGCCAAGCAAAGCCTACCGCCTGGGGTGCTGCATCCTCCCACTCTATGCAATCTCAGCACCATCCTCCAGGACTTCTAGGTTCTGACCTAGAGCTCTCGTCAGGAACCAGTGGAGACACTCTGCAGTCTTCACTTCAAGGGGACATGCCAGGGAGTGTTTCTGAGTTGCAGAAATCCTGGAGGATGCTCACAGAAAGCTTTTGTCTTTCATTAAAATATATATATATATATATATATATATATGGGAATCTTCCTGACTGTGACCCAAAATATATCTGAGGCAAGAATAAAGACATAATACTTATTTATTTTATTTATTTATTTATTTTTTTGATTTTTCGAGACAGGGTTTCTCCGTAGCTTTTGGTTCCTGTCCTGGCACTAGCTCTTTCTAGACCAGGCTGGCCTCGAACTCACAGAGATCCGCCTGCCTCTGCCTCCCGAGTGCTGGGATTAAAGGCGTGCGCCACCACCACCCGGCATAATACTTAAAGGATAAAGGATTGTTGGATTCTTTCAATAGAACACCTAAGATATAAATGGCAGTAAGTCAATGTCAGAAAAATTAATAAAGCCAGGCAGTGGTAGTGCACATCTTTAATCCCAGCACATGGGAGGCAGAGGCAGGTGGATCTCTGTGAGTCTGAGGCCAGCCTAGTCTACAAGAGCTAGTTCCAGGACAGGCTCCAAAGCCACAGAGAAACCCTGTCTCAAAAGACCAAAAGAAAGAGAGAGAGAGAGAGAGAGAGAGAGAGAGAGAAAGGGAGGAAGGAAGGAAGGAAGGAAGGAAGGAAGGAAGGAAAATTCAATAAACAGTAATGTCAATGGCCACCCATCCCTTGGACTAAAGCAATTTGCACTTTACCTACCCAGTTTTCTGTCACATAGACTAATGTCTAAGGGGCCAAAACCCACATTTCCCTGATCTTTTGATCTCTTCTTGTTTTTTTTTTTATATGTAACCAGGGTCTCATGTAGCCCAGGCTGGCCTCAAGTTTGTTATGTAGCTAAGGATGATCTTGAATTACCGATCAGTCCGCCTCTATCCCCTAAGTGCTGAGATGACAGACATACACCACCATGCCTGCTTTTGCAGCATTGGAGATGGAAGGCAGGGCTTTGTGCATGCTGGGCAAGTACCCTGATGACGGAAATGTACCAGGTAAGTTTCCAAAAAGAACGAGGATGCTAGAGGGTGGGGAGAGGAAAATGGCCATGGTCAAATGTTTTTCTTACCGAGACAATTATGACCGTCATGAGCCAACCTGAAGCCATCGAAACAGGTGCAGCGATAGTTGCCCGGAATGTTTAAGCAGTCGTGGGCACAGCCTCCATTTAGCTCACTGTCACACTCATCCACGTCTGGAAAGTAAAGGAGAGTCGATCCAGTAGTTACTGTTTCTTTAGGAGACGTATGTATGCATTTACCTGGTAGCCAGCCACCCCACTTCTTAGAATCCACCCAGATAGAAAAATAAACAAGCGCTACTCATTAATTGCTGTATTATTTCAAATTACAAAATACTAGAAGCAACCTAAAAGTTTGTATTTAGGACAGCAATTTAATGGCTGGGGTGTGTGCTGACTGCCTTGTGTTAACTGACACACAAGCTAGAGTCATCTAGAAGGAGGGAATCTTTTTTTTTTTTTTTTGGAGTCTTCAAGACAGGGTTTCTCCGTGGCTTTTGGGTCCTGTCCTGGAACTAGCTCTTGTAGACCAGGCTGGCCTCGAACTCACAGAGATCTGCCTGCCTCTGCCTCCCAAGTGCTGGGATTAAAGGCGTGTGCCATCACCGCCCGGCTGAAGGAGGGAATCTTAATTGAGAAAAATGCTTCTATAAGATCAGCTGCAAGGCATTTTCTTAGTTAGTTATTGATGGGTGAGGGCCCAGCCTATTGTGGGCAGTGCCAGTGCTGGGCAGTTGGTCCTGGGTTCTATACGAAAGCATGCCGAGCAAGCCATGAAGAGCAAGCCATAAGCAGCACCCCTCCATGGCCTTGGTATCAGCTCCAGACTCCAGGTTCCTGCCCTGTTTGAATTCCTGTCCTGACTTCCTTCAGTGATGGACTATGATATGGAAATGTAAGTCAAATAAGCCCTTTCCTCCCCAAAGAGCTTTGGTCATGGTGTCCATCACAGCAACAGAAACCCTAAGTCATGGTACATCCACTCGATGTATTCTATGTAGCTCTAAAAGAGAATGAAGATGGTTGCTATGAAATGATTTGAAATAATTAATATACTGTTAAATGAAAAAATCAAAATGCAAAAGAGTGCCTAGAATATGTTAAATTCAACACATAAAAAAACAAACATGCATACAGAATTTCAACATGAATAAAGTTTATGTGGGAATAAAGAGTCTCAGAAGAGCTAACGCCATTCAGAAACATCCAGAGGAACTTACTATAAAGCTGTCCTTAGAACAGCAGCCTGAGGATAAGGAGATCATGGAACAGAACTAAGGGTACAAAAATGAGACCAGAGACCCACGGGCAGACATGCAGAAAATGACAGACCTGAGAACACTCAGCCCTAAGCAGGAGATCTCCATCAAATCCCTCCCCTCAGGGGTTGGGGAACCCTGCAGCAGAGGAGGCAGAAAGAGACAGAGAGGACAGAAGACACCAAGCAGACAAGGCTCTCTAAATCAACAGGACCAACACACATATGATCTCACAGAGACTTAGATGGGTCTGCACCACATGGGGTCCTAGCGGTAAAAGGCCATCCCTAATTTCCCATCCCTAATCCTGAATAACCTCCAATTGATAACCACTTGCAAATGAAACTTTTAGTTTGCTCAAGGGAATCTCATGGGGGAAACAAACTCCTCTTAAGGGTAGGCTGGATGCCTAGCAGTAGATGTCAACAGGAAAGGAACTCAATGGCACCTTTGGGGTTCCTTGTCTCATATTCCATCCCCTTCCTCTCTCTCTCCCCTCTCACCTTAAAGGTCCTTTGAGTATATACTATGGCTTCCAGTTTTGTGTTTTTATGGGATTCCTGAGTGTGTAAATGAGTGTATCTCTGCATCTGTATCTGTTTCTTGTGCCTTCTCCTGGGCTCTTTTCCTTCTGATTGTTCTGTCCTAGCCCAATGTGTTCATTTTTATTTTATTTTACTATTATCCTTTAAGAAGCCTATTTGTTTTCTAATGAGAGATAGAAAGGGAGTGAATTCAGATGGGAGGAGAGGTGGGGAGGAACTGGGAGGAGTAGAGGGAGGGGACACTGTAATTAGGATATATTATGTGAGAAAAAATCCATTTTCAATAAAAGAGAGAGAAAAAGAGAGGTCACAAGCTTGAAGCCAGTGCAGGCTGTATGATGAGTTTGGGGACAGCCTGGATCACATAGCAAGACTCTGTCTCAAGAACAAAGCCCATGGCAGATCTGTAGCACAGACTACTTATTCTCTGCTTTTTAAAAAGAAATGAAATATGGATACAGACTACAGAAAGAACTGCTTCAAAAGCAGCACCAAGAGCACGAATCTAAACACAAGGAGTTCATCTATATGAAGCATCCAGGAAAGGAGCTAGAAATAGGTTGCTAGTTAGCGGCTGCTGAGACCAGGAAGGTATCAGGAGTAGATCACTGGTTAGCTGTTGCTGGGGGAGGGCTGGGAATGAAGTGTGCATGGTAAATCTTACTGAGAGAGTACAATGTTTGAAAACTCTGGATGTGTGGCTATACAACTCAGACAATTTATTACAAACCTTTGATTTGTATATAAAAATCGGTGAAATTTATGGTATATGCATGATGCATCTGAAAAGCTGTTAATAAAAAGAAAATAGGCATCTGGGCAGCAGTGGTGCACACCCTTAGTTCTAGCTCTTGGGAAGCAGAGGCAGACGGATCTCTATGAGTTCGAGCCTAGCCTGGTCTACAGAGCAAGTTCCAGGACAGTCAAGGCTACACAGAAAATCCATCTCAGAAAAAAAGAAAAGGAAGGAAGGAAGGAAAGGAAGAAGGCATCTATTTGTTTATTCGTACAAAAGACAAAGGAAGAATAAACAGGATACCACAGATAAGAGGGAAAGGGGTAGAAAGGGGAGTCACGGGGCAGGGTGAAGGGAACAAGAAGACACAACACCTGTTTGAGGACTAATTTGGCACAGCCTTGATTCTCAGAAATGCAATGACATTCCGTTTATGTTCATAATACAAACAAGTAACCAGGAGGGGTAGGGGTCAGGTGGGACGTAATGGATAAGTGAGACACACAAAGAAACAAACTAAATATATTGTGAATTAAAACACAAGGAAGGGGGCTGGAGAGATGGCTCAGAGGTTAAGAGCATTGCCTGCTCTTCCAAAGGTCCTGAGTTCAATTCCCAGCAACCACATGGTGGCTCACAACCATCTGTAATGGGGTCTGGTGCCCTCTTCTGGCCTGCAGGCATACACACAGACAGAATATTGTATACATAATAAATAAATAAATATTAAAAAAAAATAAAAATAAAAAAATAAAACACAAGGAAGACTCATCGGTAAAGTACTAACCCCTCTTCCCCATTCTCCATCCACGCCCTCACCCCATGTCTAGGCTGAGCAAGGTGCCTCTCCATAGAGAATGGGCTCCCCAAAGTCAGTTCATGCCTGAGAGTTAGATCCTGGTACCACTGCCAGGGGCCCCCTCTACTGCCCAGCCACACCATTGCCACCTGCAGGGTAGGGCTGGCTTCTTACTGTGGGAAGAAAAACCTGCTAGTGAAGAAGGCTGAAGTGACAACAGAATTCAAAATGTCAGCGCTACCCACAGTTTTTAATATATATGCATAAGAACAAGAACAAAGAATAAATAAGTCAGACAAGGTAATACACACCTGTAATCCCAGCACTCAGGAGGCAGACAAGTGGATCTCTGTAAGCTTGAGGCCAGCCTGGTCTACACAGCAAGTTCCAGGACAGCTGAGACGATATACTAGAGAGACCCTGTCTCAGAAAAACAAACAACAGCAAACATGAATAAACAGCATACATGCCTGGACATGCTAACTGTGTGCACAGAGGAGCCCTCGGAACAATGGCAGCTCTGGGGTCTGTATACTCTGACCCTTTTCCACCAAAGGAACCAGAGCTCACTGTGGGAAGGGTTTGGTGCCAGGGCAAGCAGAAAACATAGGACAGTGTGGAGGAGCTTACAATAAAAAATATTAAAAAAAAAACAGGATGTGAAAAATGACATAGGCAATAGCGAAAAGGAGCTTCCAACAGCTGGAGCCGGAACAATCTGAAAATAAATAATGTTATAAAACCAATGAAGGAATGGACGGGCGAGCAAGGGGCAGATCTTCCTTAAAGAACCCAGTTTGGAGATGCATAAGGGGGCTCAGTGAGAAGTCTCAAGGAGGTGCACACCAGTGATACCTGCTACAGACAAGATCCACAGTCAGCACACCACAGTGATACCTGCTACAGACAGACAGGATCCACAGTCAGAGGCTAACATCAGTGAACAAAGACTTGAGGGACAAGAAGGATCCTGGCTCCCCCAAATATGCGTCCACTATAAATGGGGGGGGGGATAGTAACTTTGCAGTAGAGAAGCCAGTAGACACCATTTTTTTGTTTTGTTTTTGTTTGTCAAGACAGTGTTTCTCTGCATAGCCCTGGCTGTCTTGGAATTCACTCTGTAGATGAGGTTGGCCTTGAACTCATGAGAGCCACTCACTTTTGCCTTCTGAGGGCTGCAATTAAAGGCATGCACCACATGCCCGGCTCACCAGACACCATGTGATGTGTCTTAAACCAGGTGATGATTGGCATCATCTGAATGGCACATAGTGACATATATCGCTGCTGTGGTTTCCTGGAAAGGTCCCTGTGACAGCCTTCCTGCAATGCTACCAAGTCATATCACGAGAAGACATGATACGTTCTCTTCTGACTGGTTTTAAATTCAGTGTATAGCCAAGGCTAAACTCAAAATCATGGCAATCCTCCTGTCTCAGCCACCATGTCTAGCTCTATCAATTCTTTGCCTCTTCATACAAGGCAAATGAACAAAACAGTGTTCATCAGAAGGAGAGGCGGCTCAGCAGTTAGGAGCACTTGCAGCTCTTGCAAAGGACCCTGGTTCAGTTCTCAGCACCCACATCAGGCAGCTCCAAGCCTCCACGGGCACATGCATATGTGTAGCATACGTACATATCAAATAAATCTTTTTAAAGTATTGATGTCATGGCTGGAGATGCTGGCCTAACATGAATGAGACTCTGATTTCAACCTTCAATATTACATAAACCAGGGGAAGTGTCCGATGCCTGTAATCCCAGCCCTTGGGAGGTGGAAGCAGGATGATCGGGAATTTGAGGGCATCATCTCCTCAGCTACACAGAAAGTTTGAGGCCAGACTGAGCTACAAAAGACCCTATCCCAAAAAAAGTTTCTATGTGAGACAAAGAGAGAGTGAGAGCTGGAGAAACACAAGAGGAACAGATGCTGACTCTGTGGGTTGGGACCAGGAACTGGATTCTGGAGCAGTAACAGCATCGGGGAGAATCTGATGACGTTTGAGTGATGTTTACAGTTTGGTTTTTAAATGACATCGTGCCATTGCTAATTTCCTGGTTTGGGTGACTGTACTGTGTTTTGGTAAGCTGACAGCATTGGGGTAAGATGAGTGAAAAATATCCATGAGCTTTGCATGGTTTCATAACCTTTCTGGTCTAAAAGTATTTCTAAATGCAAAGTCTCTTTAAAAGAAAAAAAACCACAAGTTTTAGAAAAGTAAAAGAAAAATAGTCTAATCTCCAAGAACACCTGCTCTCACATACACATACCTACATACAGATACAAGCAAACACATAATTAAAAATATAAATCAATAGAGGGCTGGAGAGATGGCTCAGTGGTTAAGAGCACTGACTGCTCTCCCAGAGGTCCTGGGTTCAAGTCCAGAACCCACATGGTGACTCAGGCCTCTCTAAAACTGTAATCCTATAGGATCCACTATCCTCTTCTGGTATGCAGATATACATGTAGACAAAACACACAATACAGCCGGGCGGTGGTGGCGCACGCCTTTAATCCCAGCACTTGGGAGGCAGAGGCAGGAGGATCTTTGTGAGTTCGAGGCCAGCCTGGTCTACAAGAGCTAGTTCCAAGACAGGCTCCAAAGCTACAGAGAAACCCTGTCTTGAAAAACCAAAAAAGAAAAAAACAAACAAACAAACACAATACATAAAATAAGTAAATCTTATATAAATAAACAGAAAATACAGCTAGGTGTGATGGTACACACCTATAATCCCAGCACTTAGAAGGCAGAAGCAAGAGGATCAGTCTTGGTTGTATGTCTGAGGCCATGCTACACTACATGAAACCATGTCTCAAAAAACAAAAAAATTCAAAATCCAAACAAGAGCAGCAAACTCCAGAAATGAGTGTATACCACACACACCAGTTACATCTGGATGTTATATACTATCCCAACACCAAGAACTGGACTTCTCAGAGACAGGGTCATTTGAAACATCAAGACATGAATACTAAATCAAGTCATCAAATGTCAGCCAAAAAGACATGCATTAAGCTGTCTTTTCTCCTGCCTGAAGAAGTTAATGTGGTCTTCCAAGGGCTTAGACAGGACTTTCTCACTCACTATGTAGATTTTGTTTCTGCGGGCATTCAGATCAACTCCCACCAGGAGTTAAGCCCAAATTGTAAAGATTTTAAACTCTCAGTGAAAGAGGCCTCCAGTATACTCATCAAGGTTGGGTCCAGAGGCAGGAGAAGCTGCAGAGCTGAGCCCAAACACCTCTCATCAGTTTAATGGGTGTTTCTTATCCAGCCAGAGGGACAGAAAGGAGATGAGGGGGTGACTTTTGCCCACAGGCTGATTTTGTGTTCATGTGCCCCAAGTCCTCAGTGTTTCCATCCAGAAAAGGAGCCATGGAAATAAGCCAGAGTTCCCTGAAGAGAACTGCCATGGCTAGCGCTTGGCTCCCTCTTGGGAGAACACTTTCCATTCAGTATGATCTGTGGCTCAGACACTGAACTAATCCCAGTGGGCAGAGTCCAGACTTCAGGGCCCCAGGTCTAGAGCACCAAAGAGCTAAATTCTCCCTCTGCACATATTTTTCCAGAGTGAATCTGTCACTCAAATAAGGCAGTGCCTGGGTATAATTCTAAAGTCTAGTAGGTCCCAATCAATCAGCCCAAAACCACAGACAGGATGGATCCTCCAAAGACAGCAGAAGGCAGGACTCCAGTCCTTGGTCTCCAGGGAAGTAGAACCAAAAGATAGCAAAGCATCGCATATCCTTTTCCAGAAGCTACACCAAAGAACATTTTGGAGCCAGATAAAACTGTAATCAACTCTGGGGAGGAACTAATGCCCCAACCCTTTGAGGATCTGAAAATCGTCTCCAAGAGCAGGTGGCAGTACCCTAGGTAGAAGTCCTCATTTAACCAACTGTGAGCTACAAGAACTAAGGAGGGGCAGCCTCCCTGCCGCCCACTTACCCAGGGCCCTGAGACACTTACCATCACACTGCCTGCCCTCCCCTTTGTAGCCAGGCTTGCAAGAGCACTTATAGGACGTGGGTGTGTTCTGACACAGCGCATCAACATGGCAGTCATCTAGCCGTTGAGCGCACTCGTCCACATCTGCAAAGGAACACAGCGAGCACTTGGTATGGTTTCCAAGCTGTGAGCGATCTGGCTCTAGTATCACCTCCCACCAGCCCGCCCACTCTACTCCTCCAAAGCCCATACTGCCAGGGCACCCTAGGATAAACCACACCAAGTCCAGGTCCATTTCCAAATGCCCTGTTCTGAGAGGAATCACCCAAGCATCCCTTACAGGCCTCCGAGATTCACTTCAGATCTGCCTCCTCTTGGAAGTGAGCCCTGATCCCCTAAAGTCGGGTAGACGTCCGGACCACGTGCTCCCATATATTTAGCTCATTCCTAGCAGAGAGTATGCAGGGTTGTCACTGTCCGCTCTCACCTGTCTCTCCACAGCGCCCTTACAACGGAGCCAGGTCCTTAATGCCAAGCCAGCACCGCGCATGCGCCTGGCACATGAGTATATCATAGACTGCCTGCTAGAGCAGAGGAGCAAGGAGCAGGGTTGGCCAGAAAGTTCCAGAAGACTGCCAAGACAGCTGTCCCTCAGCCTTCTCCGAGTTTGGGATGTAGGTGGGGGTAAAAGTTGGCCCAGTCTCTGGGCAAACAGTATCTCTCAGGCTGTGCAATGTAGGAATGATGTTCCAGAGATCCAACCCCAACCCTGCCGGTCCTCTCAACCCACCAAAGCCAAAGCATTTCCGGGGTCGACACCGCTCCGGGATATGAAGATAAAAACGAAAGTTTTGAAAGTACTTAAGTCCGATTAGAGCAGACTTTCCTACTGGTTTGGAGCGTGGCTGCTCCAAACCTGGAGGCTTAGAACAGTTCCGGTCTTGGGACAGCAGCTATTCGGTGCTCACAGAACTCTCTGCAACTCATCCTGGAGTTGGCAGAACTTAACAGCCCCAAAGGAGAAAAATGAGCAAAACTGCCAGGAGCCCGACCTCAGTTTCCCTTATTTACACAAGGGGGAATGAGACGCCAGGCTCCAGTCCCTGCTACTGCACTCAGCCCCTGACAATCTGGCGAGCAAGCACTCTCAGGAAACTCTGAAAACGACAGGTACAAGAAGCAGAAGTCAACAGCCCAGATCAGGAGCCTCCTCGACGGTGAGGACGGAGGGTGAGGGCTCCCAGGGGCTGGGGACCACGCAAGGGGACCCGGGGGACCCTGCCCTACGACCTGCCAGGTGCGCCCCGCGCCTGCTCACTCACCCTCCAGCGGCCGGTCAGCGCGGCCCCGGACGGCGGCGACCAGCAGCGGAGGCGGCAGCAGCAACAGCAGCAGCAGCGCTCGGGCCGCCCCAGGCCGACCGCGGCCCGCGACCCCCATGGCAGCCGCAGCGCGCGGAGCGGCGGCCGAGGCGCAGGGAGGCGTGTGCGGGCTCCCGGCCTCCGCGCCCACCGACACCCCTTGGCCCCGCCCGCCCCCGAGCCCCGGCCTCAGTTTCACACGGTCCTCGGTGCCGCCCCGCCCGCCTGGCCCCTCCCCGGCCCGGGGCGGAGGGGGCGCGGCCGCGGTCGCCCGAGCCGCTGTCAGCAGCGCCCCGCGCGCGCCCTGAGCCTCAGCTCCTCTCGGGAGCGCCCTCCAACTTGACCGGGTCCTTCCAGCCTGAAATAGTCACAGGACGCCCAGAAAGTGTCCCCGCTGAGTCCCAAAACAACGGGACAATGGACCCCAGGCCCAGCACCCCTCCAACAACATCTTTTTGGGGTTCCACAAACCCTGTCGGGAGAATTCAGGACAAGGTATCTTAGTGGGGCGGTGAGTCCAGCTGCTTTGCCCAGTCCAACACACTCCGCTGCGCCTGGCTATAGCCAAGGCTCTCTGATACCTCAGCTGATGGCACCGTGAGAACCCCGTCTATCTGTGTGTGTCTGTCTTGTCTTCTCTCTCTCTGTCTCTCTCTGTTTCTCTCTCTGAGTCTCTCTCTCTGAGTCTCTCTCTCTGAGTCTCTCTCTCTCTCTCTGTCTCTCTCTCTCTCTCTGTCTCTCTCTCTCTCTCTCTCTCTCTCTCTCTCTCTCTCTGTCTCTCTCTTTGAATGTTCTTCTCCGAATGTTAAGTGTATCTCAACAGCAAGGAGGTGAAAGAAAAAAGGATCCAGGGGTCAAGGGTGGGCCACCACAGGCAGTAGAACACCCAGCTTTGTCCAGGACATAGGTGGCATCTATGACCACAGGAACCTTAAAACATCAGATTTGGAGAGCTGCAGACAGAAGCAATGCCTACCTCCCACCTGTTCCTCCCAGCCAGGCCTTCCCATCTTTTTCCAGTCAGCAACATTCCAGGAACAAATACTTAACCCCTAGTTCTCAACAGACCCCCTTGGGATTCAAATGACCCTTTCATAAGGATTGCCTAAAAACATCAGAAAATGCAGCTATTTACATTACGATTCATAACAGTAGCAAAGTTACAGTTATGAAATAGTAAAGAAAATAATTTTATGGTTGGGGTCACCACAACATAAGGAGCTGTATTAAAGGGCTGCAGCATTAGGAAGGTTGAGAACCACTGTCCTAGATGAAACAGATGGCCCCAGGCAGAGATGTGAATGTTCTTCTCTGGGTTTCTCTGATGGTATTTACTCCATTTTCTCCTGTGAATGTTTGCATGCACCGAGTGTATGTGGACATATGTCTAAATACACTTACTGCACATGTATATTTACACACACTAATTCCTTGGTAGAAAAAAAAAAAACTCATCAGAAGCCCCCACCTAGCTCAAACACAAGAGCACACAGGTCTCCTCAGGGCTCTGGCTATTACCTACAGCCCCCCCCCCCCCCCTTAGCTCTAGGACTGCTTCCCTGCCCTGGTGTCAGCTCAGGGCCCAGGCTCAGCCTGTCTCTTTGGGCGGGATTTTACATATTCTCCTGCTGCTGGACAGAGACGCTGAGAAAAGAATCGCGTTTTCCTTTAACCTTTCCTCTCCAGTTCAGGCTGTCAGGTTCCATCCCTTCCTCAGTCTCTGGCTCCTCCCTCCCATTCCTTTTGTATTTGGTGCTGAGACACTGACTAGCCCTAGTTTGAAGGGTGGTGTTTTGTTTTGTTTTGTTTTTAACACATTTGTAAATCTTCACTTAGTGCAACTTTCCTTTCAGCCTTTGTCTCCTCGTCTTTAGTGGTAGCCATAAATTACTGCCTTCTTTTCTCCGGACGCCTCAGGCTTCATTGCTTTTGAAACGATCAAAGTTATTTCTTCTGAAAATCCCACTCAGAACTTCCCATTGTGTGGCACAGCTCTCTGCAGCTCCGGTCAAAGCACACCAACACACAAGGCTACCCATTAAACTCCTCGGAGCTCATTGCTCTCTCCGTATGTGTTTCATCTCTTTAGAACTATCTTTGTCCACTCATTGATCAAGCTGTTTTATTTCTTGTTTCACTTTTTTTTTTTTTTTTTTTTAGTTCTTTGGCCATTTTAGAGGTTGAGCTTCTGACGTAGAGCTAAGCAAAGATTCTTCCCGTTCTATAAGCTGCGTCCTCACTCGGTTAACTGTTTCCCTTGCTTTTACTCTCAGGAGTCCCATGTGCTGTATGTTAATAATGTAACACTTCTCATCCTTGGTTTCTAAGTGTGTAGATTTAGCTTTGCAGGGCTGTGGTAGCTGTAGACACCACCAGCTCTAAGCTTGGTCCCGGAGTTTACTTTGTTCTGTAATGAGTTATTAGCAACATTTAGTGCAGACATCGAGGGAAGGCTCCATGCTGCCCACATCCAGGTTCCCTTTCTTCTGAGGTTTCCACAGCCTCTGGATCAGACAGTGTGGGCCCCACAGTCCTGTACATTCATCCCAAGGTGTATGCAAGTGCCAGGCAAATGACAGAGCCCACAAGTGACGATCTCGTCCGGGTGTCTCAGACATCCATATCTGTGCACTCCTATTCCACCAGACTTCACTGACAAAGCACAAATCTGGCCAAGTGTCATGGTGTCCTCCTGTAATCCCAGTACTCAGGGAGATGAGGCGACAGGATTGTGGTTTTGCAACCAGCCTGGGTTTCATAATGATAGCCTATCTAAAACAAAACAAAACCCCCAGTTGTTGAAGATGAAATTATTAGCGATTCCAAGATGACCAGAACAAGGTGTAACACCAAACATGGGGTCTTTCTGCCTGACTCCCCAGGATGGACTCTTAGACCAGTTCACATGAGTGCACACTCAGGTTCTATACTCTGACTTTAACATGTATATAGACACACACAGAGATACATGTATATGTGTGTATATAATATATTATATTAATTATAAATATTAATCATAGGCTTTCATGAGACAACACAAAAAGAAAAGGCCAAGACTTCTAAATAGCAAAAGAGCAACATGCACAAAACGGGTCTCAGGAGAGAAGTGATGACGACCTGCCCGCACAGAAGAAGCAGAAAGGCTCTGAGAGTTCCTGTACCCACTGGAAAAGCAGCCACCCGGAGCTGCAGCGGAGAAGCTAGCGAACCTTTATACAGCGCACCAGAGCAGGGGAGACACCTTCAAATTCTTCCTTTTTATACCAAAACTCAATGATACTATGCACAAAAAAGCAAGTCATATCAGTGGCACTGATGACCATTAATTAAAAATCCTTAATAAAAATTCACAACCAGGGGCAAGAGAGATTGTTCAGTGGTTAAGAGCACTTTCTATTCTTGAAGAGGATTCAGTTACAAGTACACACATTAGGCAGCTCACAACTGTCTGTGACTTCAGTTCCAGAGAAACTGGCCACCTTCTTCTGGCTTCCTCTGGCACCTGCAAGCATACATACATATGCTCAGACACACATACACACACACACACACACACACATGTGCACACACACACACAGGCACACACACAAAATAAAAATAATAAATCTTTTTTTTTAAAGCAACCATCCAGTCATGGTGGCACTTACCTTTAATCCCAGGCAAGCAAGTCTCTGTGGGTTGAAGGCCAACCTGGTCTACACAGAAAGTTCTAGGCTAGACCCTGTAAAAAAGTAAGACCCTACAGGGGAAAAAAAAGCACCCAGAATTCAGCACCAAATCAGGTATATTGCTACACTCCTGTAATCCCAGCCCTGGGGAAGAAGAAGTGGGAGGATCAGAAGGACACCTCTGACTCTCTGGTCACATAGTAAGCTTGAGACCAGGCTAGACCACCTCAAAAACCAGAGGAGATCCAGCATCATATTAGGTGGCATATCTCAGGGTGCAAGGATGATTCACTATTATGAAATGTGCCTATGAAATCATGACACATAGAAAGGTTTCGGTGGAAAACTACAGAATCCTCTCCATAGATTAAAAAATAATAATAAAAGAATGAGAAATAATATTCAGTACCTGGAAATAAGCCAAGCAGATAATATTCAAGGCCTGTGTGAAGAAACTTTCTAAACCATAACCCCAATAGAACATGTTCTTAGACACAAATGCTCGGTATCACAAAGATGACGGTCCTCTATAACTTACCATTTGTTGTTAGTTCACCCCCCAGAGATGGAGCCAGGGCCATGTGTATGGGTCGGTCCTCAGTCCTAGGTAGCGGTATCCGTTAACTTGGTACATTATGCCTGCAAACCATCATGTGCTGTCTCACTAAGCCAGCTCTGCAAGTGATGTTGTCCTCCCCCAGTTCAGACCTACACATTTGTCTCAAAGTGTCCCCTAGGGTCCCTCATCCCAAGAGTAAAATCACTGTGCCCTTGGGAACAGCTAGAAGGTGAACCATCTTCAACAGAGGTTCCGTGGTTTATCCCACAATCTAAAGGCTCCTGTTTTTTTGGAAGCTCAGCTGAAAGCTCAGTCAGGAACACTGACTGCCTCAACTTTCCCAGGTGGCAAGTCGAGCGCCCAATTTGCTGGATGTCTTGAGCATTCGATTTGATGATATCCTTGCTTCCCAATTGATTTTTGCTAAATGTTTTGACTTCCCAATTTGATGGTATCTATGTATCTGTCATCTATCTATCTATCTATCTATTTATCTATACTTTGCTATTTATTCTTTTACTTTAGCTTGCTGTATGCTTAATAAATTCAGTCATTCAAAGCTACCTATGGCTATCCTAGGTCATTCTCTGGACCACATATAACAAAACATAAATGATATGACACCCATAAAGCAGAGCATTATGGCCTAATGAGAAGGCTGAGAGCAGCAGCAGCCAGGTCTGTCTGGTGCCCTGAGCTCCACCCTGAGATGCACAGCACAATGGAAAGAGAGGACCAGCTCCCACAGGTCGGCCTCACATGCACACTGCAGCACATGTGCCCTCCAGATCAATAATTAAAGATAAGAAACATGAAAGGCGGCTGGGTGGTGGTGGCGCATGCCTTTAATCCCAGCACTTGGGAGGCAGAGACAGGCAGATCTCTGGGAGTTCGAG